CTAATTTTCTTTGGCGGCTTGAAGTAAGTTTTAATTGAAGCTCGCTTTAGGAATGTAGCCCAATCTTGTCAGTGACTCCTTTCATGTATGGCAAGACTGCAGGGGACGCGCTCGACTGTGGTGGTTTCACTCGGTCACTGTGACGCAGGCGCGGGCACTTGCAGCTTGTTGTCACGCAGAAACTTGCTTGACATGTTGCAGTTCTCGGCCAGGTGTTGCTCGTCACAGATCCCGCGCGCTCTCTGAAACAGAGATTTTCCCACGGTAGCTAACTGTGAAGGATGGTGGTGAGATTCACCGTTCAGGTACCTATCAGTATGGGTCTTCTTTCTATACACAGTATGACTCAAGGTGTTGTCTGGGTTACGTTTAACTAATACATCTAGGAAAGCTAAGGTTTTGTCCGATTCTAATTCCATTGTAAATTGAATTTTAGGATTTATAGAATTAAGGTGTTCTAAGAATACAGTTATTTTATCAGAAGGTAATATTGTAAAAGTGTCATCTACATTACGCTTGTAGAAACGAGGGGTCACGGGTGATGTGTTCAGAGCAGTCTCCTCGAAGTCCTCCATGAAGATGTCGGCTACGACGGGGGAGACTGGCGAACCCATGGCCACTCCATCCACTTGCCTGTAGAATTTACCATTCCACAGTAGATAGCCGGATGTTAGGCAGTGTTTTAAAAGTTCAATGTATTCTATTGACATGTTGTGATCTAGTAGCTTCCTAGATATTATTTCAATACAGTCTTCTACTGGTAGGCTGGTAAATTACACATAGAACATTTTTAAATTACACATAGAACAATTATATGGCTTTAATAATTAATACTATATTTTTATATTTTTTATTTATGGTTATAAATATAATAATGGCAACACTAAATATAGATTACTAATTAATATTTTTAAAATTGTAATAATTATAAAAATAATAGCAAAAATTAAATAAATAATTTTCCATATTCAATTATAATTAAAATTATAAAAAATGTTTAAAGTTAAAAATATTGTAATGTAATTGGTGCAATTTTCATTTTGTTAATTGTGGGTAGGCTGTCTGTAACAACTATATCTTTAAGACATGTAACACCTCAGTCTCTCCCGTGACCATGGATGCTGTAAAGCATTCGAAACGTCGGGAACCAAAAATCAAAATAAATCCGCGAAATAATCCGAAAAGATAGTTTTATTTAATAAACGAGCATTATTAATTACTCTGTCACCCATTTATTTTTAAACAATTCAATAAACATATATAGTAGGTAATTCTTAATAATGATATAAATGTGAAAGTATGTTTGTTTGTGTTTCTATACCGTGGTAACAGAGCAATATCAATTATCATTATCTCTTTCGTGTAATGAAATTATACTCTTCACGCAAAGACTGGGGTGGTCTTTGAATTTTGTAACCTGACTTTCTTTAAGTATAATACGTACCTAATTGGTGTTCTAAGATTCTTCAAAATCTCTCTTTACTGTGCCTTCCATTTACTCTATCACGTTTGTCACTCATTTTATGTGTCCAAAAACGTGGGCACAATTATTTTTCATTTTCACAATAATACTCTTCGCTGGACCAATTAGGCTAGGGAAGGATTTTATGAAGAGAAAAATTGTAAATATTTTACATAAAAACGTAAAATCACTTTTTCTGGTTATCTAAATTTAGTTGTCATAAATAGACAATAGAAACTATTGTCTCGAGTCCGGTCGTGATTACAGAAAAATATAATTTGTAAACTCTAAATATATGTTAGACAAATGAAGGTCGACCTTATTGATAGACGTGACCTTCATTATGTTTTGCAAAATTAAAATAAAGTCGATCCCGTCAAACATTTTTTCTGCCTCCATTTTAATAATCTTAGCAACTGTTTACATCAATCAATGCTTACATTACTTGATTATATTAAAAATAATTTTAATAATATTGTTTTAGTATCTATAAGAGATCTTTTCCCTTTTGAAGAAGAAATTCAATATATTTTATATATTTTATCTATTGGTAATATTGTTTTATAATATCGAAACAAGTTACACTCCTATAAGAAAACATTTTAATTTTTGCTTGATCATAATATAACAAATTTAAATTGTATGAAAAAAAGTTAAGTAACTGAAAAATTTAAATAATTAATCTGATGTTAGATAACTAGCATCATAAGCTTAGTTAAGACAAACTTACAAATAAGGGGTAATTATAGTAATTAAAACTAATTTATAAAAATCTTGAGATACATTTTATCTCATACATGTTATTATCTATATCTCATACATATGATGTTATAATATCGTTCATTGTTTTTAGGTAAAGCATATAAAATGATCAACTCTCATTTGTCTTTAAAATCTCGAAAATGAACAAGATCAATCTCAGATTCTAAAATTTATTTAAATATCAGTAATAATAGTACTCTATTGATAAAAATAATTGTACATATCATTAAGTATGAGTAACATGTACTATGGAAATGCTCACAACTCGAAGAGATTTTAAAATAATTAAAAATTAATATTTTGTTTCAGTAGTAAAAATGTACATAAAAATATAACATTAGATATTAAATACAAAGTGAAGAAAAAAAGGCAGTTAAACCTGGAAACCGAAATGTTTACTGGGCGGGCGGCGCAGCGGGGTGGGCGGAAAGCTAGGCGCCCATGCGCGGCTCGGCAGTGCGCGCCCGCCCTGGTCCGACACTCGACGTCGGCTCGTCAGCGACATCACACCGCTAACATTAAACGATCATTATATTAACCGGTAAGAACAAGTGCTTATACTACCATCCGCGAAAGTGTAGAATGCGTCTTGATCTCGTTACTTAGGGAGTCCGAAGATATAGATCGTGATAGGCGAGCTCGGTTCACAATTCTGTTATGATCTCGGAGTGCATAGCCGTCTCTGTCTAGTTGCGCAATTGTTCCTTTCTGTAATATCGCCTCCCCCTACCCAGCCACCCCAGTAAACACTCGCCAGTGATTAGACAAGTAGCAACATCTTAAAAGGGTAACGTTGTATCTTCAGCACGTAAGTTACTTAACAATATCTAATGCAAATGTTTTAATTTCTTATTACCATTGTATATTGCAGTAATTTATAATAATTCTCATATAGTAATTCTATATTAAGTTGAAAATTCAAAAAATAATATACATCAATTTTACCAAATTTTCTTTATTCAAATGAATAGTAACAAAAGTTTATTTTGTTTTCTTTTCAATATCCAAGCACGCTAAAGAAACAGGCATCAATGTAAAATTAATATAAAAAGAATAATATAACATGTAACCGTAAATATTATGGTTTTATTCTCTTTTTCATAATATAGCTCGTTATGGCAATACATTATAAGAGTGCTAGTTTTCGAAGTTTAGCCCACCTGTCCGCGACGGTGCGCGGGAATGCTGTGAATCCGATACGAGCGCGCGCCTCGTATCCTATTTTGGGAGCCTCTCATCCGAGCCAAATTTGCAATCTACTCGTACTAATCGACGCGCCTTCGAGTATTTTTGAATCCGTTTCATAATACTATTTTTCAAATCTTAACATCCCTCGACAAAACTTAGTCATTTAAAATAAACACTGACTGACAAACTGAATTTTTAAACACGTGAAACATTAACACCATTTACTTAGAAGGATATAGAGATCGGCAATGAAGTAAAATTTAAGTGACATTGGCCTTCGTACTTGACACAAATGATAATTTTGGATTTAGGTCCAATAAACCGTGAATAAGAAAATATTCGATTTTTTTTCTTATCCAAAGAAACGCAAGTTACGATTTAAAAACAATATATGTGAGTTTTTTAAATTCCTCAAGCACTTTTTTTGGATTTTTGAATATGGCTTTTATGTAATTTAAACTAGACATGCTATATAGCTCTACGCTCTATTTCATTCGGGGGATAGGACATACAACGTCAACGAAGAGGTTATGTGCTGAGTAACCTATAGTTATTAGTAATAAAGTACCTATTAGTTAAACCGACAAAATAATTAAAATCAATATTAAAAATATTAATGTTAATATTTTGTTAATTAAATATTTCTATAGGCCATAGGCATAGCCAAGAAGCTATCTTGCAAATAATATTGATTTATTTTATAGACTAAACACTAATAATATTTATTAAGACATGCGTGCAATAAGCTAACAAGTGCATTCCTGAAAACAGAAGTACATCTTTCAAAAATCAGAAATACATCTTACAAAACGTCTGTTACTGTCCGATCGAAACATTGATGAATGCTGCTTCTGATCTGCTAAATATAAGCACATGACGCAAATGTTCCGAAAAATATTTGATTTGCAAAATACTCGTAGAATTTAGGTTGATGATAGTCACTTTAAAAAGCGCCGTGATTTGGTATTCTTAGTTTCCACTAATGATTAATTTTTTGACATTGGCATAATAACAATTATTATTCTAAGCAATCAAAATATTGTGAGGGGCGTCAAATTTATTTTATATGTATTGAATATTTACCATAGATTTTTTTAGTAAAATGCTTACTCCACTTGCGGAATCGTTAAAGCTCTGGGTTACATAAGTAAATTTTAATGTAGTAGGCCGCTGACTTACCCACGCTAAAATCTCGCAACAAGGTCGAGACGAACTCAAAAATAGCTTAGCAATGATCAAACAGTTGTAAAAACGATCGTTTTCGAGGTGCGCTCTACATCAGAGAGATTGGCGGTCGGCCAAGTCCATGGGCCATTCGCAGCGGAGAAGCCACAGAGACGGCTATTTGCGGCTCAGTCCCTAACGTTCCATACGTCATTGCTCTATTTAAAATGGACGAGTGCGCTATTGTATTCATTATGTCACCTGGCTGATAGCAAATAAAACATATTTCTTGCATAGCTTAGTAGGACTACGAGTTACGAGTACACAATCAGTTAACATTGAATTAAAAAAAACATAAATGTTTATTTATTTACAGAACACGAGCACGACATAAACTGCCAAAATGTTTAAAAATCATTTAGAAATGATTGGCAGAAATGAGACGCCATCGAAGAAAGCCAGATTTTGGCAATCTTTTGTCAGATCTCTAAAAGGTAATAATAGCAACCTAAAGTATTCATAGGAAAATAACACAAATTTGTGTAATATTTTAGATTAAATGCATTTCAAAAAATTTTACTAAAATTCTGAAAATAGGATCGGAAGACATCAGAGCCGAGGAAAGATACAGGCCTTCGCGCCGTAGCGTATTCCCGGAACTTCTATCATCCAGCTACCCTTACAGCAAATCCATCTACGATGACCCCATAGGCGCCGCTGAGAGGATATCCGTCCCCGGATACCGCTACCTGCCCGTCCACCGTGAAACCTACGGCTACTCCCCTCGTGCCATCTACGCTCACAACTATCCACGCTCCATCGAACAGTACAGGCCAAGTTAGTATCTGACTAATACACTTTTGATATACCTAGTCCATGGAAAGCAAATACATACAACAATCTAGCCCCCTAAAGCTTGCTGTTAATTTTTTATTGATATGTTTATACATAACAACACTTTGATTGTGCCAAACACGCGTTTAATTCTTTATGCTTATTATTTATATTAAATAATATATCATAATTATATTATAGTTCAACTATAAGTATATTTAATTGCTTGCATAATTTATATTATAAAAAAAGATTATATATATGTACAAATATTTCCCATTTTTCATGATTTTCAGATTAGCCTAACTGGATCTATTCAAGTTGTTTTATTAATTACTGGCGGCTCACCCTCGCTTCGCTTGGGTTCGCCTCTAAGAAAACAAAAACAAATCTATGTCACGGAAACTGTACATTTTTCCGGGATATAAAGTAGCATTTGTGTTGTTCCAGACTATAATCTATCTCTGTGCCAAATCTCATCCAAATCTGTTCAGCCGTTCTGGCGTGAATGAATAACAAACATCCATACTCTCAAACTTTCACAATTATATTAATATTAAAAATATATATATATATATATATATAAATAGAATTATAGATATTCAATAGATTTTGTCTGATATGTGAATGTTGGCATTATTATTTTAATTGTTTCAGCAAAAACCGGAGCAGTTTAAAATGATTTTAAACAATTTTAGTAACTGAGAGCATTAAATTTCATAAAACTGATGCCATCGAAGAAACATCTTAATTTTATAAAGAACTGGCTTTATGCTATTTAGCAATGTGAAATAATAAAGTTAAATAATTTATGATCATCTGTAAATTATCATGTTTGTTAGTTGTATCGAATCTTTGAAATACAAACATTTGTATACGTTTTTAAATAAAATATATGCATTTAAATTATGACGTCATCCTGTAGAAAGCTCGGAGATTTAATAATAATAATTTGGATAATATTACATGAGTCTTACACAATCACAAACATTTTAAACTGAATATACCTACAATTTATTTCACATTACGTGTTTGTCTGTTACATAATATGTCAAAAACCTGTGATTATGTTTCTTGTCCTTCCATTTCAAAGTTTTACTTGTTCCATCAGTTATTAACAACATGACTTTATCTTCTAATTACATAGATAGACGGATAAAATATTGGATAAAATATAAAATAAATTAGTAAATTCTTCATATTTTATATTTAACTGTTGCTTATATATTTTGTTTCTCGTTCAATGGTGGCTTGCAAGTTGTTTATATATCATCATTCATTATCAATGCATGCATGTATTAGAAATCACCTCTTACACAATTTACATCGACTCACTTTTATAATTATCATTAATGTAAATATCGACTTCATTATTAAATCTTCAGGCATTTCTCAGGTTGCCCTTTTTTCTTTTAAAATCCCTTCCACCCTTTATAAATATAAAAACAAAAACTAGTAATGTCACTAAGTTGTTCCACAAAAGAGGTGAGTTCTACATAGGAATAATTAATTATTAATAACTTTCATAATAAAATATTGCAGCTTAAGCTAAGCGTCTGCTTAACCAAAACTAATCAGATTGATATCTCTTTCAAGTCTCACATTGTATAATGCCATTCATGTAAGTATTTTTAATTCATACCTATTTGAATCTTATGAAATGTTATGCTTTTCTTATTATATTTAAACTTACAGATCCGCTTTATATGTATTTCTTTAAAACGTCCATTAATCGGATCAACAAGGGTTACGAACTTGTCCAATCTCTTCCTTGTTTAATTTATAACGAATATACATATTTCATATCTATATCTATATTTAATAACATGGAGCTGTTTGCTAACAGTTTACCATGTACCGAGGCGTATCCGAAGGGGAGTTGACCCGTTCGACGCTCACAAGGCGTGGCAAGACCATCTCGACAGACTGGCCGCCATCGACCGCTTGTATCCCTCTCGCTACGGTCTCTACCTAAAGGACCGAGCCTACCCCATCACCGACTTGAGCGCTCCCATCGTCGACCCTCTTTCATCTAAGAGCCTTAAAGGCATCGAATATGAACCCGACAACAAACCTCACTGGGGATCAGGTAAATACTAAAACTATTTGCACGATAGAATAAGCTAGAGTAAGAAGTACCAAGATTAGCCCATTCGACTTTCATATATCTTATAAACTTTGTTATTTTATTCAACTACTTTTTCATAGCATCTAGATAAGTCTTTTTAAGTGTCTCAAAAGGACTGATGATTTTGTTTCAAACTACGAATGGTCAAAACTCGGTAACTTAGCTGATCCATGTTAGGAACTAGGTAATGAATGGCTCCAAATTTGCAATGTTTTATAAGAAATGCTACATATTATCTTATTGGAACTCTTCATACCTACGTTTGTCATGTGGAATCAGAATATTATTGTAAAAGAAACATCACTCACTATTAGATTCAATGCATATTGAATCTGATTTGTGAAAGTTCTAAAATATTTTAAATTTGTATAATGAGTGTTGTGTAAAAAGCTTATAAATACAAATTTAAAATATACTAAATAGTCATTTTATAACAAATTATGATTTTAAATATTGTTTGTTAAAAGTTTTCACCATAGTTAATTGTCACTGTTATTTGTCGATAGAAAGTCAAAATTGTGTATATAAAAATGTTGTATTATGTACCTGGTACCGGCATCTAATAATATGAATTGATTTTATATGAATCATTGTCAATCAATACATACACATCCAATTAGTTTAGGCATCTAATATTATTATATAAATTCTCTTTTTATGCCGTACTTTATAAATAGTACAAAACAATTGCATTAACTAACCCATTCATATTTTTATATTAAAATTTAAAAGACCAACTCGTGTTTTGATTTTGTAGTGTAGTTCCTCCCTCTCATTTTTGATTCATAAATTGAACAAAAAAAGAAAATAGAATTAATTTTTTAAAAGGATACCTTCAGTGCATACATAACTCTCATACAACATATGCATGAGCCGCATTGTATATAGCAAGAGCACTCACCGGAATGTTCAATATTACTAAGTGCGCTACTCATTTAAGTGAACACTACACTCTATTGCGTTCAAATGGATATTTTCAAATAATTACCACGCTTATATCTTGGATTTATTGCGTGGTACTGACTGTGAGGTTTACCGTGAAGGAGCGTGGCCGTCGAAGATATCAGACGTATTCAATAAGGATCCATTTTTTGCTGATGCTGTAAAATGGGCTGGTTTTGACCGATCGCTCCGAGGGAAGTCCCCTACACCCGTGAAGCCAAGGATAAGTCCCCCCCGGGATTGTGAGGTCGCATTCGATTCCGACGGTAAGGGCAACAGACACCCTGTCTTCGTCAAATCCCTTCTTGTTATAACTCTTAATATTTCAGTAATGTGTAAGTCCAATAAGGACATATTAGTTAATACCGTCTTCACTCCAGCACTTTGTCATTTTAACGTAGTTGGATGTTCCAAAAAATGTACTCTTTTCCTATTATGTACCCGTTGAATAAGTAATTAGGACGTCCTTATTCACGAAATTCTCTATTTTCAGTAATGGATTTTGAATGTATGTGTTCTATTAATGTACAGTTCAACAGAAACGATATTCATAAATATTTTTCTCACATATTAACATCACTACCATACGTTTGAAAAGATATCATCACCTGGCTCCATTGATCAAAAAAGTACTAGATACACAATCCCATGCAAAAGTTTTCTTAAAACTGTGACCAATTTTGTTTATGTAATTATTCTAGTTGAAATAAATATACAACAATGAAAATTGAACCTTAAATGCAATGCTTAAAGTTTCACATAAAAAAAATGAAAGCGCGCTCAAATGTCCAAATGAGCGCTCATTAAATGAGGATTTTTTTTGTCGCTGATTGTTTATCTAGTACTTTATTGATCGATGCCTGGCTCTAATTATCTTAATTAATCTAATACATTTTCAATATTTAAAGCTTGTGCAATTGTAAATATTATTTATGCTATATTGTTGGATATAATTTTTATTCTATGTAAGTTAATGCCACAGTATAATAAAAATCTATACAGTAGGCGATCGCCCATTGATTTTAATGGAAATACTGTTCAACACATATACCCGTCAACACTAAATCCGTTCCCCGAGCGTCATATAAAAGTAAGCGTGAAGAAGTCCGGTGCTTCTCACCTTCTACGCCTCGCTTGATTGCTGTCTCTGGGCGCCTTCGTTAAACGCTGTATGGATTTGTAAACTGTGCTAACACATCGTAACTGCTGGAAGCGAAGGCTTTTTTGGAAAACTTTTATAAAAGCATATATATAAGTATTTTAAGAATATTAATATTAAAAAACAATTGCCATGTCTTTTACATATTGTCATGAACAAATTAACGCATTTACTAGATTTTTCTTTAAAAAATTAAAGATAATTTTGATTAATTCAGGCTATATGGTACACAAATTATAATTAGATTATTAGGTAAAGTACAATATTCTGTGTGTGTAGATATTAGAACTCAGATATGAATGTAGCGCAGCTTCATTTGTTAACCATAGATTGCTAACGCTTGACGTGCAGGAGCGATGACGAAACCAGCTTGTGTCTGTTGCCTCGGCATTAATCATTGTGACGTATAGGTGCACCACTGTACAACGCGGGAGGACTCCGGCGCAGGCCTTGGGCCGATATTTTCAACCCGAGCCCGTCCTTGCCTATCTCGGCGATCACTCGGGACCCCTTCTGGTACGACTGGCCGGAGCTGAAACCTATGGCTCGATGGGACCGCAGCCCTTCCTACATCCGTGACTCGTACCTCTCGCCCGTCAAACGCACCTTTCTCTGGGACAAGCATCCGATCAGGCCCTTAGGTTAGTGCCTCGCTGTAAATACGCAGCTTCATTACTGAGCTGTAAAAATTGGCCTATTTTTTTTATCGACGGCCGCTCTTTTTACTATATTTTTAACAAATAAACCAACGTTAATTGTGAATCTCTGATCATGGCAGATCTAATGGTCCTCGACAGGTTCACTGTGGATGATTTAAGCAAGACTTTACCCTTCATTCATAGTCTGTAATATGAGCATCAGGTATCTCTTTGATGGATAATAAAAATGGTTTTGAAGAGTTCGAATATGTATTCGTAATTTCCCTATCCTGTGTACACCTATGTAATTTGCGGTGAACAGATTCTCTACCGGCAAATCACAGAACTAACTTGGACTGATAACGTCATTGTTTAATCTATAAAAAAGTTTAGATCAAAGTATCCGTAGACGATATAGAATGTAAAACTCTTAAGTGTCAAGCAAGAAATAGGCACATAAACTGTAGTCGGTAGTTCTGAAAATAGCCTCTAGGGAGATCTAATCGCCGCCAATTGACCGTGCTCGTGTGTGTTACTGTTATAGAAAATAAATAATAATTAATAGATCCAAGAATTTCAAATTTTACTATAGGACTATTTTGTGTAGTAGTTCGTAATTTATGTGGAATTATGCGCATTTTGAAGTTTTGTTAAACTGCTAACATCGATATCTTTTATTATGATAGTCGTGTTTTCCTAGAACTTTACATACTTTGTGGTTTTAAATATTCTCCTTAATAACTTTCAGGAGTTTAAAGCTGTCCCTAACCTCCCTTTTAAAGCATGATGATTAAATAGTTATATAATTTTCATAATTTAAAAGTGTAAACTTTTAAAATTAAGTAGGTGCGATAATAAAAACAACAATATTTTAAAGTAATCTCACGTTATTACTTAGATATAAGTTATCTATACCTACCATACCCATTTACATTACCATGTTAGACATATCATCGTGCATATTTATCTACATTTCACATACCTAAGTATTGTACTACTCTAATACATACAATTATTTGATATCATTACTTAATATACGATATAAGATTAAAATATGTAATTCGCAATATTTGGTTTTTTAATAAGATTTATTTCTCTTTCAGCTGCTGCTTTCTAAAGGGCCAGACATCGACCCCTTACAAATAAGTTATTCTATACGCAGCCTATTACTACATTTATTTTGTAATTCTTTTCCTTCATCAAACATGACTATGTTGCAATAGTGTTCATCATCAACTACTTTCTACTATCGGGTTTGAAAGTTTCAAGATCTCAAAGACTGCATAACATAGTCACTGCCACGAAAATGAACTCTGTTACAATAAATTTGTTTTTATTATAAATACTATTTTTATGTACAACAAAATATATTTTAAAAAAATAATAAAATACAAAAACACTGATAAGTATTTTTTTTAATTTTACCCATTGAAGAGAAAATCAATAAAATATGATGTGACGGAACCTGTGATAAATACATCATTCATCATCACTACAAATAAACAATGGATTTGATTGTTATATTTTATTTTAATTAAAACTAGCATAATTTTAATTAATATTCCATATTTCAAAAAAATATCTTCTTCCGCTATTATAAGATTTATTTGGCTGTTACTGCAGTAAGTAGTTAATTTAGACATTTTGTATTCTTCAATTCAATTCTTTGTTCTGAGGCGGATTTTGTATTCTAAAACCAAACTAGATTTGACTGACGTGTAAATTCCACTACTTCTCTATCTCTGCAGAATCGACTCTTGGGAATCTGGTAATCCGATATTTTCAATGCGTAAAGTTACAGAAACGTATACCTCCTGCTACATAAACAAAATTAAATAATTAAAACATTGAAATTTCTATGATATTAACGGTATAATTTAAAAAAAAAACAAAGAAAAGAGCCATGTTTTAACTATAATCTTACTTAACTTAAAAATTAGATTTTTTAAACAAAACATAAAAATGTCTTAAAATAATTCTGTTACTCATTTAGCAGTTTGAAGCCATAATATTTACATACAACAACAAAATAATCCTAAAAATCCTAATAAAGGTATTTTTAGGATATAGTATTACTTGACTTTATTCCATAAAATAGGTATATTTTTAATCTCATGAGTTAATGTAACAGTTGGATTATAATTAGTGATGGACCGAATGCGAGTTGAAGCGAATACGAACGTCGGCCGAACTTCGGTTCAATTTTACCGCGCTGTCTCGAGAGACATTTCGTGACCCTTTAATAATTAAAAATACTTAATGTTTCTGAGTGTTTAGTTAGTGAACCAAAAACGTGATTTTTTTAAATTCAATTAACGAATTGTAATTAAGATGTATATTGTCCGTTTATATTAAGAGAAAAAATATATATTGAAAACCTGAAATTTTATGATTTTAAAATGTTAGCAGGGATATAAGGAATAGAAATTCGTAAAATGCCCCATATACCCAGCTACCCCTGAGAAATGGGGCATAGATTATATTGCTACGTATATAAAAATGGGGGGACGCAAAGCGTTGAAAAATAGTTTTTTTTCAATTTCCGGCTTTTGTGACGTTCTATCGAAAAATGTTTTGTACAAAAGTTGTAGATCTAGTAAAAATCTACAATTTTATACATAACACTTTTTACAATAACCACAAAGTTTTCGAGATATTTGCAGAAAACTCGGTTTTTAATCCTTTTTTGGTTTTTTATTTTTAATGTCTAGAATAATCTTTTGATTTCCATGAAACTATGAGAATGTTATCTTCGAAATACATGTAATAAAAAAAGTTAAATTGAAATGTTTAGACATTTTCGAGAAAAGTATGTTTTATGGTCTCGAGAGGCTGAAAGTCACCCCTTAATTTATTTTAGTAAGGAATATTAAACCGTTAAGGTTCCTTACTAAAATAAATTACCATGTTGACCGATCGGAATCCGTTTTAATTTTTTATAGAAAAAAAAAATAAAACCTGAAGTTTAACGTCTTTAAAACGTTAGCAGGTATATAATTAGGTAGGCAGGTATAAAAATTGAAAAAAAAAACCATTTGTCAACGCTTTTCATCCCATTTCTCGGTGGAAGCTGGACATCGGGGGCATTTTAGGGATTTTTGTTTATTATATACCTGCTAACGTTTTAAAGTTATATAACCTCAGGTTTTGATTTTTTTTGTTCTCAAACTGGATTCCGATCGGACTAATGAGTACATAAAATACCTAATTTTATTTTATTGTTATGACAGACATGCTTTCTATTTATTTCAGTCAAAATAGTGCAAGTAGGTATTTTTTTTCTATTGCCGAATGTTCGGCATTCAAACCGAAGTTCGGCTCAAGCTGCCGAAATTCCGTTAAACCGAATGTAAAATGAACTTCGACCCATCCCTAATTATAATATATACTAATGAATTCTTTTATTGATATTCCTCTAGTTAATTCATAGACAACAAACGGGTAACTGTTAATTAATAAGCAAAAAGCCTTACGTCCATGCCAAATCGATAATATCTCTAGTCTGTACTCTGTGGTTCTTATAGTTTTCTAGCTGTCATTCATGGTTGTTGTATTATACTTGGTAGCATGTATGACTAAGTTGGTAGTACCTATCTCTACGATCTCTACCTTGTCTATGGTTGGATTTTGGAGTTTGTCATGTTTGAAAACAGAAAAATGACATCTAATTTGAAAGAAAGTTCGTTAATTATAAATAAAAAGGATTAAATTCAAATAACTTATCAGAAGTAAATATTATTAATTTTGATCATTACTTAAGTCAATTCATTAAACTATATTATTATATGATTCTTAATAATTTATAATGGGGGAAGCTGAAGATCAAGTAAACGACGCTACACTGAGTGGTCCAGAAGTAACATTTGATAATTTGACTATTTTGAAAGAATTCAGCAATATAGCAAATCTGGTACGGTAAGTATCTTTTAGTGTTAATTCAATAACTGACATGCTTTGTAATAATTATTCATATAAGTTTGGTAAACAAATTTCTAGTATATTGTATACTTAATCTAAATTTATTTTAGAAATGAAGATTTTCTCGAAACTGTCCCAAAAGCTAAATTAAGAAGAGTAAAATGGGTTCCAATGTTTAATTGCTTGAAGCAAGGTATTTTTGATGAAATGGTACAAGAAATTAGTTCAATGTGGAAATTTGAAAATATGCCTGAAAAGTTAGAAATTTTAGAAAAACAGAAAGAAAAATTTTCTGAAATCAATCCTGATAATAAGGCTTGGTAAGTTTGAATCTGTATGAGTACATAATTATTATAAATTATTATTGTTAGCATAATTTAATGTTATGGATTAGAAAAATTAAACTATTATAATGTTAAATGTAATTTTACTTATTTTAGGAGACCACAACATAATGTTAAAAGTCAACTTAGAGCTTCTGACGTAGCTAACTTAAGAAAACAGAAAACATTGTTGGAATCTCTAGCAAAGGAATATGAAGCAAGGGCTAACAAATTGAAAAAAACAGTAACTGCTAAAAGAGGCTACCTAAAAGCTTTACAAATGGATATACAAAAATACCAAAAGAAGAATGAGGAAATTGTTACTCAAATAAATGAAAAATTAAGAAACCATGAGAAACTTGTCGATTTAATTGAACCAAATAAAATTAACATTGAAGACATAAGTTGGTCACAAAAAAATGTGGATGTTCAAGAATAAATTGCAACACACTGAGATACTGATTAAAATTTATATTTCAGAAAATTGTACATATCAGAGAAAGTACAACAAAAGTTATAATATCTATATAATTTAAAACCCATTGTTACTCTGAAACTATGTTTTACAGTAGATGAAAATAGAGAAGATATTAATACAGTGTTACAAATAGGAAAATCGCACTATCTCACAACAAATAACATGAATCAGCTAACAGTTTGACAAATAAGTGAGTAGTAAAGTGAATATACTAATGAAAAAGCAATGTGAGAATCTATAGCTGTAGAAATTTATGAAAAATGTTTAAGTGAAATATGAAAAATAGATTGTAACCGTACATTCTTTGTTTTCTACATTCATTTACCTGTATATCATAAAAAATTACAATCTGTATATCTAAATGAAAATAAAACAAAAATAAAGCTCTTACTTTAAATAGTAATATTTATTAATGAATATTATTTGATATTGTTAACATAGCTAAAAAATAAAATTGTACAATGCAAAACCTGCATATAATTTTCAATATTTTATATAATTATAATATTATAGCAATTGCACTATTGTTGCGAGGACTACACTGCTTCTACCGTCACTTTACTTAAAATCGTTTTCGAGACTTGTCATTATTTTTGAAGTTAAAGCCTCAATGGGGAGATCACGCCAATTCACCGATAATTTTGAAAATCTACTTATTTATACTAATACTGTGTGCAAAGTAAATAATAATTTCACTGGGGACTTCAGCTTGCTCCCTAAGCAAAGTGTAATTGCAATGGAGTCCTTAAACTGAACTTGGACACTTATTAGCTACTCGGCAAAGGTTAATATCATGCTTTAGGCCAGCTCCAAAACATAAATAAATCATAAATGATTACTGGGAGTCAGGTTATGAATAGACGATTTGTTTTTTGAAAACATTCTCGTCAATAAACCTACAGAAACTAGAAATTTTCAAAACCAACCAATTTTCGTTACTTACATCGAGACCTATATATAATTTACATTTATAGGCACATTAGTTATAGAATAAACAAAGCAACGGTGCTTTCGATCCACTACAACTTCAAAAATATGTAAACATAACGCTTTCGTCCAATGCCCGCATCTCTAAGATCGCCAACCTTCAACTTCAATATTAACGAAATAATTTTTCTATAATATCAATAAATCTATAACACAACAAGATAATCTGCTGAAAGTTGCCTTGCACCGGGACCAAAGAAGCAGGTCACGAGACACGGCCGAATCTAGTATACAGCGACACTTGTAAACTAAACTCATAAATTAATATCACTCACATCTAAAGTAAAGTTAAAAATAAGAAGGCACAAGCAATAATTGATAAATAATTTCCATAACATTCCATTCGGCTCTGTCTAGTGACCAGTGAGCTGTCACATGGCAATACACTACACTAGTGTTGTTAGTGTTTCCTGTATGAAATAATTTACACATTTTGTGACTGCTCTTGTAGAAATATAATATCAAACCTACTAAAAAATATAAATAAATACTAGTTTACAAATACAATTTTGGTGTAAATAAAATGTATAAGATAATTTTATTCACTCTCTTGCAGTATGACAAACAATTCCAACTTCAGGCCTCATCCTGATTGACAACATTATACAAACGATTTTAATTTTCGTGCGACACAAACCCAAATCAAATGCATTACATTATAAGACGACAACAATATGCATCATTATATTTTACGTATACTTAAAATAATTATATGATTGTGTACAATTTAGTTGTTAATGAGGACGAGGCCATATCGGATGCCACACTCCAGCTTTGGTGACGCAGGACTGACAGTAATGCATTGTCATGTGAAGCAGGCCTAAGTAATAACTATAGTGGGTTCGATTAAATTATTTGTAGCATCTCACTGCGCAGCACACTGGATCCCAAATGTCAGTTATTTCTTTTTGGGAGGCGATCTCTGGGGCGTGGCCGGTCTGCCGCTGTTGATGCCATTGTACTGATATTTCGCTTTCTTCTCAGATGGCTTTAATATCTACAAAATTAAGGTTTATAATGTAGATTTATTGTACACATATCAAAATTGAATTCTATAAGGGCTTATATGCACACGCGTTTCGCATGCGCATCCTCTGCACTGATAAACTTAAAGGGCATATGTACACCTTGTTTTATAAAGTCACGGACGACGCGCGTTTCATGAACGTACAAAATGTCCGCATGTTCTGCATTAATAAAAAAAATCAAATTTATGTTCTACTAAGTAACGCACGTAAACGGAGCGTTATAGTCGTGTGCATAGGCCTTAATAATAATATCCTTCTGACTGATTTTGGCCACGGAGGCCAATTTTACTCAGCCTAAACAACTGCGCAGGATATATTATACTTCACAAGTGTACATGCCAAAGAAAAGTGCACTCTCTATTCCTGTCACTCGTAATCCGATGGGACGATAATCACTCACGGTGAGAGATCAGGCTTAGAAGCTAAGGCTTTACGTCCTCTCGTAAGCACGGGGTGAAACATAGCCAACTTCCTAACTCCGGACTGTTACTAAAAATATCTTGACAGAGAACTCAATAGCTCCACTTGGCGCGATCCGGGACTCGAACCCAGAACCTTCGGATGTGCACGTGCCAGCCACAATACCACCGAGGCCTGAACGCACAGTAATAATAATATATTACCTGAAACGAGCACATGAGAGTCTCGTCCACGGACATCATGCCGCCCGCGTTGTCGAACTCCCCGCAGTAGTTGGGCGCGGAGAAGAGCGTCACTAGCTGTCTCTTTGCGAAGAACTCGTAGCCATCTTCTACCACCTTTTATAAGTCACATACAATTTTTTTATACATATATTTAATCATAATACATAGTTAATAAAGTTATAAAGTAACATTATGAACTGAAATATTAAGAATTTCTATATATTTTAGCTAAATAAAATTATAAAACGGTCACTTTACATATCAATAACTTTTTTAAGATGAACATATTCTAATAGTTTTTTTTTATTGTCAAATAAAATTAAGTATTAGAATGAAGACAGTATTCATTAAATAGCTATTGTTCTTTATTATCATGCTTACTTAATGTATATTTACGATAAAAACTTAATCATACCTGATGGGCTCTACAAATCAAATCCAAATCGTGTCGGTTCAAGAATTTGCTGACAACATCTGGTCCGAATGTAAACGACACTCCACGATCGTTCTCGCCCCATCCTTGCACATCCTTATCCGGATCTGACCATAGCAGATCGCAAAGTAAACCTTCAAAGATAAATCATAAAATAATCGGTATTCAATTAAATACAACTTGCGGCTCACTCTCGCTTCACTTGGATACATATTAAAGGTTAATATGGAATAGATAGACTATATATTATATCTTATGCGTTCAGATGACCAAAAACCAAATTCTTAGGTTTTACATATGAGTACACTCTTATATTGCAGTTTTTGTATTTTTTCTCAGAAATGAGATACTTTCCCGCGGTAAAAAGTATCCTATATGTTGACCCGGATAACCAGCTATCAAGATTCCAAATTTCATCAAAATCCCATCCAGTATTACTGTGGTGCGGTAACAGACAGACAGAAAACTATAGATTCGGCCTATGTATCGATAATAATGTCTATTTCTATCTATTTCAATAAGATTTTCCAAAAAATATCTAATGTACAGATTCGGCTTAGTTACAATCAGGGTTCAAAACGATAATTATCATTGATAATTATCTTTGATAAATATAATAGAAAATATTTAATTTGTAACTCTTCACATTGTCGATCAGCAAACTGAACTCTCTCAATCAGCTCAAAAAACTCAATCAGCAAACTCAGTTAATGCAGTTGAGGAGGATGAGGATGATATTCCACTCATTAAGTAGTCTGCCCACTTCACCGTCTCATACCATGGCCATGCTATGAACGTATCAGGCACGGAAACAAGCAACACGGACTACTATGCCCACTAGAACGTATTATTCGCGTATCAACCGCGTGTCATATCCGTCTAGTTCCCGTTTTCTCAGTCGTAGTAGTTCACCTGTATTTTCTCGTGAGGCAGCCGCGACAGGAAGAGCGAGTGAATATTTTTGTTACGAAAATTATTTCCTATACATTGGTATATACGTATGGTATCGTATAGACGATGGTTATTAGAAACTTGTCCGACAGAAAATTAACAATGATAGCCATTGTTTTAGACGAGGAAGAAAGAGAATAACATCAGTCGATCACAACGTTACTAGGTTCACGCAGTTTTAAAAAAAATATAATTTATAAGAAAATATTATCACTAGAAGACAAGCGACAACACGTTTATAACGGCCTTAGAACGGTCATCATACGCAGTTATAACCCGTGTGCTCATCGTTTCGCCGTCCACGCGCACTGGATCGGCAACGTCACGTGCCTGGCACGGAACGTATCGGCACCGGCAAAATATTCTTGTCGACAATTATTTTTAACTTTCCACGCACGGCACGCGATGGTGTTGGTTGGTGACGGAAAGGTCTTGGTCGGTGATGAAAAGGTCTAGTGGGCACTTTTCAATACAAAGAATATTTTTTGTCTGACACGGTCCTGTTATGGTCCTCGCACGGTCATGGTATGAGACGGTATAGTGGGCAGAAACCTTTAATTTAAATAAATATTGTCTATATATGTAGTTGGTTAAATTTATTCTGTTTTTATTTCATAATTTGTATATGTCAAAATAATGAAAAAATAATAATAATAAAAGATTACCTTGATTGTTAAGTGTATAATTTATTCTAACGTAAATTATTTCATATAGGCCAGTAGTCAAATACCAAAACCTACACAAGGATTGCTAAGTTATATCTGTTTGATAATTATCGCGATAATTATCAAAAGATATTTATTTATCTTGATAATTTCATACCCTGGTTACAATTTATTATATGTATAGATATAGCCTACAGCCTTCTTCGATAAATGGGCTATCTAATGCAAAAAGATTTTTTAAATCGATTAATAGTTCCTGAGACAAGGTCGTTGAAACCAACAAACAAAAACAAACTCTGCCTCTTGATAATATTATTATAGATACAATTTTAACGAGAACTAATAGTACTAGTAAAGTTATATACTATAGTCTATATTATTTAATATTTTTTGTATTGTTGTGTTTATCAAGTATTTAGAATGCACTAGAACTTATACCTACATAGAGAAATAAACAATTTCAGAATTTGTATTTACCTGAACGTTTAATCTTGTATTACTTAAAAAATTTAATAGTTTTTTATTGCTTAGGCTATAGTTCAAATTAAAATTAATTAATAAAATGGTCAAGTTTCATAATCTCCTAAGAACATACAAATTACAGCCTTGACTATTTGTTGTAAGCACTCCCGTGTACCTAGCGAGTCATGTTCGGGCAAGTCATACGGACTTAACAGAACACTAAATGCGACATAAATTGGATTAACAAGTAATATTACGTTTTTGGACTAAGCTTGTTTGGTTATGGCCTTCAGCGCAAATCTTCAAATATACTATAACAAAATCTAATTTAATGTAGTTACTTCACAGAGCATTTTTGTTTATATGTAGATATACTTAGATTCTAGTTACTATAATTTATTATAATAAAAGGCAATTTTTGAGAAATATTTTTAATTAACCGATCTATCTACATAGATCATTGCCTCTAATTGCGATTTCCTCGATATAACCGCGACATGTACCTAATCTTAATTAAAAGGCAGGAAATAATCAAGATCATAATACTGATTGTCACGACTTGTGTACTGCATGCGGGTAAAAAATAATTTATATTCTACTAGCAGAATCCCCGGCTTCACTCGGGCTAAAACTGCAAAAAATCTCTAAAAACGTAGTTTCATCCCCTATTTAACCCCCTTATAGGATGAATTTCGAAAAATGCTAAAACACGTATTTATTTAATTTTATTGAAGTTTCAAGTAAGTACCTACCTAATTCAGATTATAAATATTTTTTGGATTGTACTATAACGTGTTTTACCATGAGAATTAGACAATATCCCGCGGTAAAAAATAGCCTATGTCACTTTCCAGCCCTCCAACTATCTCCACACAAAAAATCACGCCAATCCGTCACGCCGTTTGGACGTGGAAGAAGTACGAACAAACATTCATATTTATAATATTAGTATGGATAAGTATTAACTAGCCAGTGATTTAGATCACCTAACATCACAGTAACAAATAACAACTTTTGTTAGAAGCCTCAATAAGCGCCCTGCGAAGTGTTAGGTACTAATCCATTCAATCCAATAAATTAGTAAGTATTTTGTCACATAGGTATCTATACTTATTATAAAAATAAGTCCCCCGGCCGCGTCTTTCTGTCCTCCTGTCTGTCCTCCTGTCTGTCTGTACGCGATAAACTCGAAAACTACTGAACGGATTTTTATACGGTTTTCAACAATAGAAAGAGTAATTCTTGAGGAAGGTTTAGGTATATAATTTATTATGCTTTTATGTAAATTAGCTGAAATACGGCGACAAATGTTGAAGAGGTCGCAAAAAATCTCGCCAAATGGGAACTTTCCACGCGAACGCCGCGTAAACTAGCAAAGATACAGTTAAGTAATGTACTAGAGAATTCAAAATCTATAAAAATGCTACAAAAAAGTCCGCGATAGCATATCTCTATCTCTTACGGTTGACTTACAATAACCACTTTTATGTTAACATTTTTAATTAAAAACATTACGTTATTTTCAAAGTTATTTTCTTTAGTTCGGTATTAATCCTTATCCAAATGAATATTTTAGTTAGCTTAGTCATTTAATGCAGATTAAAATTGCTCTTTACACTAAATCAATCAGATGAATAGTTTTTGAGATATCGTTGTTAGAAGTAATTAGTAGCGAAACATTTTTAATGCTTGGCGAGCATTGAGATGCCTACGGCGAGTCCATCCCCTCTGCCCCGCATCGCTCGACCGCCTGCTCAAGCTATATAAACCGGGCGATGTAGCGCGCGATCCTAGGATACTTTTTACCGCGGGAAAATATCTTATTTCTGAGGAAAAATACAAAAACTGCAATGTAAGAGTATACTAATATGTAACACCTAAGAATTTAGTTTTTGGTCATCTGAACGCGGGCGGAGCCGCGGGCAATGCTAGTTATATCTATAAATAAAACAGCCAATTTTTATAGTTCCATTAAATTATACCTACAGTCTACAATTCTACATATATATTTTTACTATTTTATTACATACTAGCAATTTATCCTCGCTTCGCTCGGGTGCGTCCTTAGATACGTTTTAATTTTTTTGAGCGGAATCCTAATTATTTTTCTAAAATAAAAGTAGTCCAAGTTACTCCTTATAACATCAGCCAGTGAAAGTCCCGTCAAAATCGGTCGAGCAGTTTCGGAGATTTAGCCGGAACAGACAGACAAAAATTTTAAAAATTGTGTTTTTCTTGCATGTACCGTATATAAGATAAACACAATATTTTCATTTTCACATGCATTTGGTAAAAAGCTGTTATTTTGACATTACAAACAAACACTTCAATTTTATTTATCTGCAATATGTGCATTAATAACAATAATGTAACAACCATGAGAAATAAAACGTGAATGTAAAAATTAAATCTGATAAGATTATCACCAAAAAAATATGATTATTCTTCGTCTGCCTGTATCAAACATATCAAATGAGAGATATTCAAAATCAATATAATTTGGCGGCCAGTCTGCACTTTCGAAATAGATATGGTTAGCACGAAACCGAAACGAAACGGTTAAAAATAAATTTGAGAAAAACAAAAGGGGTTTTTTTCCTATTGGATTTTATATAAAAAACAAAGATTAAACTTTGTTGAAAACTGAACAGAACATTTGATGAATCAGCTATTAATAAATAATTTTAATATTTAACAAGATCTATGTAACATTTCGTAACACTGAATAAATATTGTATATTTTTCTTAACAACAATCGTCGTGTGATAATTCGATTAACTCAGTGTTATCGTGTGTAACGATTAACGAAGTCTCATCGAGAAGACAATAATTACAAAAATAAACAGTGACCACACGCGGTGCTTTAAGTTAGTGCGTTAGAGTTGTATAACGTTAGCACCAAAATTTTCCACTCTCGTCGAAGTAATACGTAAACAGGTTACTCATGTTGTAGTAAATAGAAAAAATAATAAACAAAATAACAAATTATTATATCGGTAAGGCATCTGTTTGCCAGCTGTTTATTGAATTTAGATTTATAGCTTGTATGTTTGCTCACATCTTAAATTCCTTACTTTTTTTTGTAGATATTCTATTTTAAATCTACGTCTACATCTCTTAATCTTTTTTATTCCTTCTTCGCGTAGTAACTACCGAGCAGATCGATTTGATTATTTACATAAAGATGAGGGATTAATAATAATAATATATTGCTAAAATAAACAAGCACATAACAATGATTAAATATATGTTATTATATATTTTACCTGTGTCAGGTACATCTGTAGGTCTCATTATCCGTCTGATTTGCTCCATACCCTGCAAGTCCGGTGACAGACCGCCGTGACAACAGAAAATCTTCTCATCGATAATAGCTGCGATCGGAAGGCAATTGAAACAATCCGTGAACGTCTTCCACAGTTTGATATTGTATCGGCGTTTACATTCATCGTAGAATCCTAAAAAATCGTTGTATTAATTGTGAATAATACCAAAGCGTATCCACTATAAGACCCAAGGCTACAAGCAACTCCAACTCGTTGGAATTATACTGAAGGCCGTCTCTCAATGTGACTTGTAATTTCAGGCGTACTCGAGAACTACTCAAAGAACGTTTTGTTATACAGTTCATTATAATGGGTGAGTTGCTTGGCCGATGGGAATGTTCGAAATATTTAATAGTTTACCATAAATACGATTTATGCTGGCACATTCATGATTGCCCCGTAGTAGAAAGAAGTTTTCGGGATACTTTATTTTATAAGCAAGCAAGAGGCATATGGTTTCTAGAGACTGCTTGCCGCGATCAACGTAATCACCCAAAAATAGATAGTTGGCTTCGGGCGGAAAGCCGCCATATTCAAATAGACGCAGCAAGTCTGTGTACTGTCCATGTATATCACCTGGAAATAGCATTCAATTTTACATATAACATGATTGTATTTTATTAATATAATATTACGGTTTCGCTTGTATTCATTTAAGCTCAAGGCCAACACACCGCCCAGTTAAAATATACTACTTTGAATAGTAGGTACTTTATGCATACCTAATTGGGCATATCTTGAATACTACCCTAGCATTTAAATTTTAGTATCTTTACAACAATAGTTTCAATGTCATGAAATACAGCTTTCTTTGGTAGCAGTGTAATTTTGTTATATTCATACACAATTTTCTTATCAAGTGATAATATAAGTATATTTCGTGTACCGAATCATAAGAACTTAATACCTATAACGTATTAGCTTTAACTCGTAATTCTGTTCGCTTAGTTTATTGAAATACTAATGTTATAAAGAGGTAGTTTGTGAGTTTGTGAGGTTGTAGGGGGTAATCTCTGGATCTACTGAACCGATTTAAATAAAATTTGGTCAGAAGATAGTTTGAGACTCTGGGAAGGACATAGGATACTTTTTATCCTGGAAATCATCCCTTAAGGGGGTGAAAATGGAAGATGAAAATTTGTATGGGGAATCAACCTAGAGACGAACCGGAGCGAAGCGGCGATGAGTCACTAGTTTATTGAAATATAATTATATATGTAATGCGTATATATATTAGGGTGTGCCAAAAAATTACGATATTTTTTTTTCTTCACTCTCACCCCAAAATATCTTAGAAAATGTCCCAACGAAGCTCCTGTTAAAAGCGGAGCTCAAAATTCCAATTCTAAGAGGTTCTCCATCGAACTTTTAGTTTTCCCATACAAATTGTATGGAAAATATGATTTTTAACACTTTTTTGTCCTGCAAACTAATACGAAAATATTTTTCAAAAAAATGAATGAATAGACCGTTTTTACTATTAAATTTACTACAAAAAGTTCCATTGTTCATTTCGTAAGAGCAAAAATTTGAAAAAATAAATATTCGTGAGCCTTTAACTTTGTTGTTATTAATGATATGAAAAAGTTGACAAAGACTTTTTTATAGGATTTTAAATGTACTACAAATTTGCCATTTAACATTTTTCTGTAACTCTTATAGTTTAGCTAAAAATGCAAAAAACCATAAATTTGAACTTTAAAGCTATTTAACAAATAAAATATTGAAGATAGAAATTCGACTCAATGGATATATATATATATATATATATATATATATATATATATATATATATATATATATATATATATGTATGTATGTGTGTGTGTGTGTGTGTAAGCTCGCCTACAATGTTCCTCCCTAAAAATGTAAAAACAATTTTACAGATGTGGCAAGTGCTTTCAGACACTAGCTTATTTAATTTTATATTCATTGACTATGAAATAAAATTTTATGTATGCATATAGTAAGCAGATTGTGTCATTACATGTCAATTACCAATGTTCTTAAACATATTACAAGTAGAAAAGCAATCAAAACATATGGATTGCATCAATTTTCTACATTAATTATGGCAATTATATGGCACTAGGTTATAGCAGTGATCTCATTATGATATTATGAGTGCATTAGATCACCATACTAACCTATACATATTACAAATAAATTCAAACTGAGTCAAATCTGTACATTAAATATTTTATGGAAAATCTTATTGAAACAGTAATTATTATCGATAGAGGCTGAATCTATAGTTTTTAGAATTTTTGTCTGTCTGTCTGGGAATGCATTATGAGAAAACCACTGGCCTGATTATGACGAAATTTGGTAAGATGATAGCTGGCTATCTTTCCTATGTACTTTTTACTTCGGGAAAATATCTCATCTCTGTGATATCTAGACTAACCGATAAAACATCCCCAGGGACAAAACCCGAGCACAGCAAGCGTGAGTCGCTAGTATATAATATTTCTTGGTTCTACATTTACACATATATGTATAAAGTAAAAAATATGATTAATAGATTTTATTAATCACATTTTTTATACAATAAGATATATTGTAAACGCTTCTAATATTATATGTATTTTTAATATTATATGTATTACATATTATATTGTCGTATACTATGTAAGAAAATCGTATTTCTTATCTGCACTATTCATTTTAACATTTTTTATGTAATATTATAATGATTACACTGTATACAACAAAATAGATGTATATATGAATATTATCATTTTAGATATTATATACTTATATGCATGTAAGACACAACTACATGATTTTCCACTACTATCAGAGATATTCAAATACTTAATGTAAGCATTTCAAAAACATTATCAGTAATTTTACCACAGATTTTGAGTGGTGCTTCTAATTCCAGTAAAATTGGCTGCTGTAGGAATATCTCCCGAGATTTTGTACAGAGGCCGCGGACCTCTGATTCTGACATCTGCACTGTCTTTCCAGGGCGGCATCCTCGAACTGCAGCAAAGATAAAAAAATAAATAAAATTACTATAAAAATTATGTTTTCACTTAAACAATAAATTAAAATATTTTTTTTAAGTTATTAATTGCTAGGTTGACTAAACAACTGTCAAAATTTTAAGTACAATATAATAGTCTTATGGTTTATTTAAAAAATGTACTGATTAGCAATTAATATCTTATATTTATCAAAATGCAGGTTATGCAATGAATGAGTGAGACATTGCTGCTGTTGCCTTAAGGATTAAAAATATTTTATACAAAAATAGTACAGCATCACATACTATGTACAACAACACATGAAATAAAACACAATCTTTTAACTGTTTGCACATACAAAGCATGCTACTTCTAGCTTTGTAACATTCCACTTCAGAATATGATACCACTTAATAGTTAAAGAGCCAGAGAAAAAAAAACTATTTTCAAGGTATATTCAGATTATGTGTGTAGGTATGTTAATATATAACATATAAACTAACTTTTTTGACAGTAAAATTAAGTAAATTTTATATAACATATCAAAATGTTTGGTATAATAGAAATGGTGCTATATACAATGGGTATGGATATTTTCTAATGTTATTGCTTGTTAGGTTTACAACTATTAAAAATTAAAATTACATTATCAGAATAGTGGCACAGTCACAGTGGAATATTTATTGGAAATTCGTACAACAGGAAGTGAATGAGAGTTGAGCAAGGGCAATAAAATCTTCAAAGTAATAAAATAAGAAATCATAAATCTAGCTCAATACGGAAAATAGAATTTTGGAGGTAACCATACATTCTCCTGAAAAGATGTCTTTGAATTTCCCTTTTCGCCGTGCTGTTTCTTGTTGCAGCCTGTATACTGATGTAACCCATAAAAAGCAGCATGATAAAGTGAAATTAACAAGTAAAGTAACATACAATGCGAACAAAGCATAACAATAAGCCCATGAAGTTGTTCGATGCTATGGAATCTGTCATCCATAATACTAGAAATACAAAGTCAAGTCCTATCGAAGTCTTCGTAAATTTACAATATAATTTATTGTTAAAACGTAAAATAGCCGTCTACAAGGCTTTTGAGCATAAACATTCAAACTAGATTCAGTTAAGAATAGAGGATAATCGATTTATTTATGAGTTAGACGTTCCTATACATATACACTCAACAATTACGCAACTAGAAGCAAAATGTACGTTGAAATATTTGTTAATACAATACTTTTAAAGGTGCAGTTTGATAATATAGTAAAAAAATGTATAAAACTGTACATTACCTTCTAATAGCCTGTGAATTAGACTGTCAACATTGAGTTCGTCAGCCATATTTACTACACCACGATTTATTTTACGTCAAATTAAAAGTCAAGTCTTTACGATTCCATCGGAGCGGTAGGTACGTTCGGCTGTTCGTACATATTACAGAATACAGATTATTAATTTATTTTGAGAATAAAGTAGGTCAATGTTTTTTACGTGAAACCTGGGAGCTTTATTTATGCTGTAAATTGTAACAATTTAAGATAAATTTTATATATCTAATTTTACAAATCTTAGTTTATTCATAAAACAGTAAATAGCAATTGTGGTTGAAATATACATTCAAGGCATAAATAAAAAACTAAACATAAATAAAATAATAATAATTACAAATATTTTTTTTATTTTTCTCATATTATAACTATGTATTTATAGCTATTATTTTATATAACAAAGATCTCTTTATAACTTAATAAAAGTTTGATTATTTCGAAAAAAATGAATCTTTTAAAAAAAAATATATAACGGGGAAGATTTCTTCGAGGAAAGGAGGGCGCCGCGCGTAAGCCTATTTACTTTCAGTCTGAGGTTAAGCAATTTATTGTAATATCGTTTTTATACCTGGTTTTTTGCTTCTATTCTATTCGCATTTTACCTGTGCAATGTATTGTACCTGGTTAGACCAGTTGAAGGAAGAATTGAGAAAAAGGTGCATCCTACGGTGTTCCTAACTGACTACATGACTGATGGATCAACACAGCCTAAGCTGCTGGTTGTAGAAACATGAAATTTGGAGGACGTATTCCTTATAATGTAAGCATCCGATAGAATAGATTTTTTCTTTATCTTTATCTTGGGAATAAGATATTATAAAACTCTGTTATTTATAATATGAAATACACAGAAACTGGTTATAAAAAATAGAAAATATATTTTTTTTTTCGTAAAAGTGGGTAATCAAGTTTATATGGGCAAAGAATTATTTATAATCAGAACTACTTGAAACTTAGTATTAATGCTCTTCAATACAATTAAATAAATATGTGTTTAAGCGTTTTTCGAAATTCAATCCCATAAAATGAAAATAAAATATTTACCTGTAGATGATTTAGGAGTTTTAAAATCACTTTCTTTAAAGTGATGTCCACGTAGTCTTAAATATAAACATTATAATTTTGCCAATTTTGGTCGTCTTATTGCTTTAGCTCATAATTTCTTCAGTTTGTGTCTTTTGGAAACAAATGATATCCACTTTCTTAGCATCCTGGTACAACAAAATTTAACAGTTTAATTAAATTTTAAATAAAATGAAATAATATTCCTCCCACGACGAACTTTACAATTTATTGAGGGCCATAGTTATCGCGACATCTAGCGGGAGAAAATAGCAAAATTTCCCCATTTAAATCTCCATTTTAATTTAAATAATTTATCTGTAATATTACCACAGATTGTACAACAGCAAAAGCATAGACAACTTATGTTTTGTTTTAAAATTCTATTTTGAAAAGGCAAAATGTCGCTGTTCTGGGTTGTCAAGCTATTTTCTCATCGCAATGTGCCGTTCTGGCGCATAGTATGTATGAAACTGTACAGATTGGCGTGTGCGTTGTATTTTATTTTAGACAAGACTTGACGGCTATTTAAAAAAGTCCATGGCTCTTTATTGGATAATGGTATATCACAGATTCGGTTTTTCGTAAACATCTGGAACAAAACAAAGCGAAATACAAATGTAGCGGAAGTAAAATCACTAAATCAACGCGTGATAAACGGTAAATGATCATTACGGAGGCTTAAAAGATTTTTTACTGTCTTTACACTATCGAGTGATGGAGGAAAAAGTAGAGAGTGAAAACAGTTACAGTGGTGAGAGCAGCAGTAGCTCTTCCGATAGTTCTAGTGGTAGTTCGGAATGTGATGAGGAAATCACCGAGCCAGTTAGTATTTTGGGGCACACCTTGGAACTTCCACAGGAACTCTGCGAGGATTATTCAATATTCAAAGAGTTCTTTTCTATGAAGACTTGGGAAAGCTTAGAAGATAAACATAAAGATTACCTCAAAGAATTCCTGCCAACATTTCCAGAAAACGATGAAGAGGAGAAAGAGACAACAATAAAAATGCTATTTAATTTTGAACCATTCCATTTTAAATCTCCCTTGAATAATTTTTTTGGTAATCTGAGACAAGGGAATTATAGACCAGATATAGCTAGAATGAGAAAGTTTTTGAAGAAAGCAAGAACCAAACAACAAAAACATAAGGTATTTATATGTTAATATTTTGTTGTTTACATATAATTTAATAGGTTTATAAAATTTTACAGTCATATAAGAAAAAATTTGAGTTAGGTACTTTGGTTTTTTTTACAGACTAAGTCATATTATGCAAAAATGCTACCAGATGTTCTAATATCTCGTGAGAGGTTATTGGCCGCAGCAAAAGCTGGACCACCAGGCCCTATTCCATTCTTACCAGCTTTGCCTCCAAAACCTTCACAAAAAAATAACTATAAGCCATTATATGTAAGAGCGAGGCAGAGATATTTTGAAGAATTGGCAGCTATTTGGAGTGAGGTAGGAGGAGAGGAATCAGAAGATGAAAATTATCCAGAAGGTCCACCAGAAAATACATTTAAAAAAAGAAAAACAATGCATTCTGGACAGGTAAATGTTTTAAATATTATCTTTATAACCAACTAGTGACTCACCCTCGCTTCGCTCAGGTTTGTCCCTAGCTTGCTTCCTAGTACAAACTTTCATCCTCATTTCACCTCCTTAAAGGGTGTTCCCGGAATAAAAAGTATTCTATGTCCTTTCCAGGGTCTCAAACTATCTTCTTACTGAATTTCATCTAAATCGGTTCAGTAGATCCAAAGATTACCCCTACAATGTCACAAACTTACAAACTTTATCTCTATATATTTAATAGGAATATTCGAAAAGTTTTAAGTGATTGTAATTAATCTCTTTTGAGAAAATGTAGTGTGTTCTGTGAAAAAGTAAAAGTATACACATTATCAACTAAACTATACTTAATAATTAATATCTATACTTGCCTTATGATGAAAGTAAACATCATGGCATCATCATTTCATGCTTGAGAGGTCAGTACATGAGGTTCACCAACTTGCACATGCCAAGATGGACTATAGTATATCTCTTGCTATAAGGAGAGATTTGCACTAATCAGTGTGACAGTAAAATTCTCATTTTAAAATGTTTATTTTGCAGAGTATAGATACAAATGTATCTGGCACATTAGGAATTGCAGATCCAACACACCCGGCTTCATTGGATTGTTTAAAAACTGTTCTTGCTACTCATAGAGCAAGAAGACAATACAGAGAGGTCAGTGTTTTATGTACAATATAATTATGTACAATTGAAATTTTGTGTAATACTTTGGTTAGGCATACAACATAGTCTATATAGCAAAACAGTGACTCGTAATGCAAATGGTATGACAGTATTTGAAGGGGAATCCCTTTTCAATTGTTAGTGAAATGAAATAAATTTAACGACTGTCCTGTTTGTATTTTTTTTTATGTTATGGTTGTCAAAAGATTAAAATACAAGTTTTTTGTGAAACTTGTACAAGGCAACATACTTGTACGTGAAGTGATCTACCATCATTATTTTGTTTAACATATCATTTACATATACTTTGCACTATTTTAACTTTAGGTCTGTTATCTGTTACTATTGCAAGTAAAGAAGTCTTGTATGTGCGGTTAAAAGAAATGTTATATAGGTGATATTAATATAATATAATAGTTCGTACTTAAAGAAAATCATTGTTCTATATACAATATTCTATATCATATGAACTGTCTCTATCTTTCTCTATAAAGATAAGAAATACTCATCTTTTAATTTTGCTGTATAGGTTTTAAACTGTAGGGTGTACATGTGTTTTTTTAATTATATATTGATAATATATAATATCCTACATTTTAATCATTTTTATTAATAAAAAATGCATTCCTCTTTCCTAATAATATTAATCATGTATGTAATTGTATATATTTCAGAACCATCCCGAACTAAATACAACTGGAATAACTTTAGATGACATCAAACAAAGAGTGTCTCTCATGAATGGGGCTAAAAAGCTTATGTTTGGTGGTCAGAAAAACGAAGCACCTGTACAAAAAGTGAAAAAAGGCAAAAAGGAGAGTTATCCAAAGCAAAAGCAAGATAAATCTGTAGTTAAAAAAATAAAAGAGGAAGAGAGTGTTGAAAATAAACCTTTATTACCTAACATTAAAATAAAGTGTGAGCGAGAAGAATCTGATTCTGAAAGTTCTTCATTCTTAGATCCTGTTACAAGTCCTAAACAAACAAATAAGAAGTTATTAGAGCCTGTTGAAATAAAGCAAGAAGTTTCTGATACAAGGTAACATATTTTGATACTATTTACATTACTAAATGTAAGCTTAAATTTAATTAATTTTGTTGTCTTAACTATACTGCAAATAAACATTGTGTTAAATACTTATTTAAACTAGACATTATGGGTACTATAAAAATCAAATGATCACAAGTTAAAATCTGTTATAAATAATTATTTTATAAAACAATAGAACTACTAAATAATTTAATTTAGTCACAAGACAATGTGTTTTATACCCACTTTGTATGGGAACACTTAGAATAGCTAAATCTTTATGCATGTCAAAATGCCAAATTTTACCCACATTTTGTAAAATTTGGCTATGTTTTTATTTACACTTTATTTTCTGTAGATTAAAACATTCCCAGATAAGTTAAAACATTGTCAAGATGTTCATATTATATGATAAGCACACAAAAATTCAAAACACTTAATTGGGCTGGTGTCTATAACATCTTAATCACTAATTATAATTTTATTTTATCAGAATAAATATGTACATTAACTGTAAGAGATGTCAATCTTAACTATTTTATTTCAAACTGCCACAAAATCTAGAGAACAATAATTTTAATAATTAAATACTACAGTAAGTTACTTTGCAGCAGATAGATTTAAAAATAATGGAATAAACTTAAATTGTTCTAATACCATTTCAGTGTAAATTGCCATGAGAATGACATTGAGAGAGTGATAAAGCAAGAGCCTCTAGATTCTATATCTTCTATACAAAACTCTTCTAGAATAAGCCAACCAGTGCCCATTAAATTGGAAGATTTAGATGGAATTGGTAAGTACTATTATGTAAATTAGTAATAACACATTACATTTTCAATACAAATTTCACCATCAAACTTTTTTGTTGGTAGATTGAAAAAATCTATTATTTATTAAAGAAATATAATAATGGGCATACTTACATTACATTTTTGTAATAGGTTTTTTTTAGTAAAATATCAATTTAATTTTAATAGTAACATAAAACGTTTTTGGCAACACCTTAGAATGTTTAAAAAGTGTATTAATATTTGTGACAAAAGTGCAATTTATGATCTTGACATTATTAGAAAAACAAAAACAAATCTATCCCACGGGAACCGTACATTTTGCCGCGATAAAAAGTAGCCTATGTGCTATTCTGATGTATGAGCTATATTATTGTAAAGTTTCATTAAAATCCATTCAGTAGTTTTTGCATCAAAGAGTAACAAATATCCATACATCTAAACATCCTCACCATCTTTTCCATTAATAACATTAGTAGGATTAAAAGTTGTTTTAATAATATTAATTAATATATAACTAAGACTATTCAATTAAGTATTAACATAATTCATTAATATGTAAATAAATGATAAATTACTCAATTCTATACCTACTCCAAAAAAATCTATTTGATGTTATGTATTTCTAATTATTAGACGGGGTTTCAATTTTTCCTGACTCGCGAGTCGGCCCGCCACCCCGCGAAAGAGGCCCAAGAAAATGGTTAGGTTAGTTTCCTCGGCCTACTGGATTCGTAAATCCATGTAAACCGAGCCGGCTAATAGCAAATCAAAATTGTACTTCAGACCCCTATATGTTATTAGGAATACATTTCTATAGCGCGATTCAGATGACCTGTAGCGCCATCTATTGTCAAAATTTTGAAATTCATTTGCCGATCGAAGTCTTAGGTGTTTTAATTAATATGACTTTTGCATCGTATTTATTATTCCAATGCTACTAGTTAATAAAAAATATTTTATTTTTATGTATACATATGTACAATGACTTATAATATATTATGTATAATATATTGACGATTCACATTCACCCTCGTTTCGTTCCGGTTCGTCTCTACTTATGTTTTAATGTTTAGTATAGATTTCTCAAAGATGAGATATTTTTCTGCAGTAAAAAGTATCCTATATGTTGACCCGGATGATCAACTTTCATCATTACAAATTTCATTAAAATCCCTCCAGTGGTTTTTCCGTGATGTGGTCACAGACAGACCAAAAGACAGACAAAAATTCTAAAAATATAGATTCGACCTCTGTATCGATAATAATGTATGTCTATTTCAATAAGATTTTCCAAAAAATATTTAATGTACAGATTTGATTTAGTTACAATTTTATTATATGTATAGATAAAAGTAAAATATTTTTTTATTACAATAATTGATTACAAGCGAAATTGAATAACAAAAATTGAATTATGTAATTTTTAAATAATAAATCTGTCACTTTGATAACATTTAGACTTTTATCACGCTTTAAAAAAAAACACTAAAAATATCCTTTTTGCTTACAGTTACGCCAAAGCTACATATATGTATATAAAGAAGATATTTGTTCTTTAATAGATATGACGATTAAAGTATTAAGCCATTTCAGATATGATGGCATTACCAGTGGAACTGGCAAACGATTCAGGAGAAGTTCTGCCTGTGGATACGTCTAATGAGAACGAAGAGAATCTTCTAGAACCCGATGAAGCCTTGACAGAGACTACACATGCAAACTTTTTGTCGCTCGTCCGTGCGTTGTTCCCGGCGAGAGCGGCACATAGAGCGTCTAAACAGCAGCTGCAATCGAGATGTGCTGCTGTTATGAGATCTCCGATAGCTCCTCTCAATACTTGGTATAATTGTAAGTAAAATTTTTATTATATAATAATTTTAACCCCTTAATGCACCAAAAATAGAAATTTTAAAGTTATAAAATGAAAATATACAGATAAAATTCAAAGCAGCTTAATGATATTGGTATTAATCCTACTAACATTATAAATGCGAAAGTTTGTGAGGGTATATGGATGTGTGAATGTATAGATGTATGGATATTTGTTTTTCTTTCACGCATAAACTACTAAATGGATTTTAATGAATCTTTACAATAATATAGCTCATTCATCAGAATAACACATATGCTATTTCTTATCTTGGAATAACTGTATAGTTCCTGTAGGATACTATTTTCTCTTTTTGTTCATTATCGTATTGATTTCTTGATTATATATAAAAAATAAAAATTATATATATTATATTATAATTATCAGGTATAAATTTTTGTATTTATATTTTTTTTGTTTCAGTGTCAGATGACTGGTGTGCAGAGTTGAATTCAGCTTTGGACTTTTTGGCCGGTGAAAGAGGGCCACATCCAGATGATTTTGTTCCTTATTTACAATATATGCCAGAAACACAGGTCAGTTCAGCTTTTTTATCAGTTTTTAATTGTAGCAGCGTGTGTCACAAATAAATATTTATTGTATTCTATTTTTTGAAATGAGTATAATGAACACCAAGGACTTCGTCCCTTGTGCCCTTTTTGTTTTAATTTATTTTGTTTTTTTTTTTGTTAAACTTTGTATGGTTATAAATATTTCGTGTTCAAATTTGTGTTGGATGCTAGCATTAATGGTGTAGATCGTAGGATATAGAGTTTGTTTGTTTGAACGTGATAGTATCAGGAACAACTATTCCGTTAAAACGCAGCGAATGACGAATTGAATTAGCATCCACTAGCGATGAGTCGCAAAAAATATGATGATAATGAATGATAATGAATACAGCCGGTTTAGTTGCTGTCCGAAGTCGAACATACACTGACTTTATGAGGAGTGTTTCTATGCATTCATAACACACTGACTAAGCATTATTGTTCGGCAACAATTTTTGGACCGAACGATTACACTTAATATTTACAAAGAGTAATTCCATGATGTTTTATTCAGATGTACCAGTGGATAGGCGCGGGCCGCGACTGCGACGCCATCCTGGGCCGACTGTGCGAGCGCTGGCTGCGCGCCGCGTCGCCGCCGCCGCCGCCCGCCGACCCGCCGCCGCCCAGGTACGGCTTATATTGGAAATTCGACCTTCTCACTGGGTCTTTATGTGTTATATTTCTTCACACTGCATATGCGAAACTAACGTTGAAGTGTCAAAAATTATCAAAAACGAAAAACTGATCTTAAAGACTGAGTGAGTAATAAGTTACTTAGTCAATGTTTGTTATTTTTTTACATTATATTATCTCTTAACTCGAAATATTTCAGAAATGTGACACGTTACGGCACCGTACTGATGATTATATAGATATGTTTTTGATTATTATTAAAAGCTACCTGTAGTTCGTAAAATAATTCTCTATCTAAGAGAAATTGCCGAAACGAATTCAGCATCAGAGGTGTCATATGTTTAATATTTGTATAAAGCTACGAATAAAAAATTAGTCAGGAAGTCTAACTCTGAACAAATTCCACACAAATAGTGGCCCTACTTCAAACTAAAACGACGTATGATTCAATATACGATTCACGTCTGAGGTTACAAACAGACAGTTTTGGTGATTGGTTTAAATTTTGCGTTTTAAATTGCGCGAGTGCTGCAATATCTGATATGACAGCAGATTCATAGCGGCGTAGACATGTTATACAATAAGTGGATCGGACCAAGTCAGTAATAAAACAATATTATTGTAGAATATTTATTATATATATTTGTTTTATTATTTTTTTGGTTACATTTTACATTTCAATGAACTTTATGCCCCGCGAAATATGATTAATTTATTGAGTTTTTGTCTAGAAGACAGTAACAAATATACCGAAATTAATTTAGTATAAACGTTAGTATAGTAAAGTTTCAGTGTAGACAGTGGTAGTCCAATGGTGACGTATTTGACGCTTGAGAAACCGAGTGAAGCGAGTTCAAATCACGGCACTCGCACCTCTGATATTTTCATGTGCGAATCATTCCCAACATGATTACCAATTTGTCTTACGGTGAAGGAAAGCATCGTGAGGAAACCTGTATGCACCTAGAAAGTATCAAAAGCCACGCGAAGTCAACAATCCGCATTTGGCCAGCGTCGTGGATTATGGCCTGATCAGTGATCCCCTTCGTATTGAAGAGAGGCCCAGTATTTGGGACGTAAAAAATTGCTGAAAATAAACTTAAGTTTTTTATATATTAGATATCCAACATCGTGGGTCTTACGGCCGCCCACTGCCTCGGAGACAGCAGAGTTTCGTGCGCAAGAAAGAAAAAGATTTGCCTCTGCGTCCAAACCTTTCACATATATACAGTATGGGTATGTTTTCATTACATATTTCTTATGTATTTATTAAAGGTATTATTGATACATTTACAATATTTAATTATCTTTTAGTTAGTTTTTTTTGGTATAAAATTATTATTATTGTTTATAGAATAGAAATAAATAAAAGAAAACGTTGAGATTGCTATTTAGAATAATACATATTCATATGTACAAGTTATTCAGTATAATTATCTAAATAAAACAAATTATCAGCAAACATCTTTTATTAGATTATCAATATAAAAGGGCCTAAAGTAGTTTAACTTCTGTAGTTATACTTTTCAGTCTAAAATTATATATCGATACCTTAATTCGCAAGTCGGTTTCGCTTTCGTTTCGCTCGGATTGTCCCTAGGTACATTTTAATTTTTTGGAGCGGAACCCTAATTCTTTTGCTGAAATAAAAGTAGCCTAAGTTACTCCTTATAACATCGACTACCTGCCAGTGAAAGTCCCGTCAAAATCGGCCCAACCATTTTGGAGATTAGCTGAAACAGACAGACAAAAATTTTAAAAATTGTGTTTTTCTTATAAATACCGTATATAATTCCATATGCATTTAGTAAAAAGCTGTTATTTTGATTTTTTGACATTACAAACAGACATTTCAATTTTATTTATGTGTATAGATTTCTTTTGTTACACATGTTGCTATGATGTAAATAGTATATTCCGAAAAGGTCTTCAGTAAATTAAAAATAACCCACCCTGTATATATATGTATGTACAATGTTTATATGTATGTACAGATACCGGTCGGTGGTGGGCCCGGCGACGGGCGCGCGGTGCGCGGCGGCGGGCGCGGGCGCGGGCGCGGCGCTGCTGGCCCTGCAGCGCCCGCGCGCCGCCGCCTTCGTGCCGCTGCTGCGCGACGCGCTCGCCCGCCTGCCCAACGGCGAGGGCAGCCGCCGCGACATCGTCATGCTGCTCAAGTAGGTTCATCACTACATAGTATAAAACAAAGTCGCTTCCCGCTGTCCGTCTGTCCCTATGAATGCTTATATCTTTAAAAGTACGCAACGGATTTTGATGTGGTCTTTTTAATAGATAGAGTGATTCAAGAGGACGGTTTTTGTATATAATTTGATAAGTTTTTGTATACATTGGCTAAAATATAACGATTTTTGTTGGAGATGTCAGAAAAATAATAAGCTATCTGGGAGCTTTTAATGAAAACGCTACCTAAAAAAACCTTTGAAATATAACAAAATAATGTATGGTGGAATTGTGTATCTTATATAGGCCTACAAATAACACCGCGATGGCATAAATGTCTATCTTTGAAAGGTAACATACTATATCCATTTTGATTTAAAACGTACCTAGGAACGAACCCGAGCGAAGCGAGAGTGAGTCGCTAGTACTATGTTTATACCAGTGGCGAAGGGTGAAATTTTAGCAGAGGTAAGCCGTCCCAAAAAAAAAAACAGACAAAAACATTGATATAGAATTTTTATATATCAATGCAAAAAAAATAATGTAATTATTGTAAAGATATTTTTTTTCTTTATAAGGCTATTGTGTTTTTTACTTCACTGACTATTGTGTTTATTACTTTAATAATAGTGTAAATTCAATAAATAAATATTTATGATGGATCATTGGATATCTAAAAGGTATGACGGTTGGAATCATCTTGGATGGACCCTTTGCCACTGGTATATAATACACTAGCGGTACCCGCGGCTTCGGCCGCGTTCAAACTTCCGATCTCTGCCAAACTTCACAGGATCACCCGCTTGGCTAATTTGAAGATTGCCTGAGACTTTTATCAAAATTGCTCCAGCCGTCCAGGGTCCATAGATAACATGTATACACACATCTATATTAGAGATTCTCTTATAGAGATAAGTCCACCTTTGTCCACGTCACTTTCCATGTTTTTTATCAACCGACTTCAAAAAGGAGGAGGTTCTCAATTCGACTGTATTTTTTTTTATGTTTGTTACCTCAGAACGAAAGGGTATACTTCCAGATTGGTGCCATTTAAATTTCAAAAATAACCACAAAATACCACCCCTAAGGGTGGAAAAATAGCTAATAATGAATTTAACCTACTTCTAATTGTCATATTGACTTAAAACTTTGCAAGTGTTTCTATTTCCGTTGATAGTACAGTGGTTCGGTATTGTTGACCTGATCTGATGGTAAGGCCAGAAGGTGGATAGGTGGAACTCTTCAACGGCTAATAGTAGATACTTTGAGTTTGGGCTTATTTTGTTTGATTTGACAAGCCTAACACGTTAGAATTCTTACTTCCTTACTACTGTATACACTAAAAAGGGAAAAATAAAAACTTTTTAACAAAAAAATAAAAACCGACTTCAAACAAAAGCACTAAAAAGTAAAAAATAACTGATTGGTAGTTTTCATTTACTATACATACCTAATCAAATATTTTCGATGTCGGTGTGCTTTGCTTTGTATGGGCTGGCACCGATTTCGAAAATATTTGATTAGGTATGTATTTAATAGGTAGGCTTTAATTACTTAGCCAAAGCACACCGACTTCGAAAATATTTGATTAGGTATGTATAGTAAATGAAAACTACCAATCAGTTATTTTTTACTTTTTAGTGCTTTTGTTTGAAGTCGGTTTTTATTTTTTTGTTATTTGTATTACCTACTTTTTTGTGCAATAAAGAATATAATATATAAATACACTTGCGACTATACGTGTATCTGTATACAAAGTTTTATTCAAATCGATTTAGCCATTTCAGCGTGGAGTAACAAACATACACATATTACACAGTTGTCAGATTACAATATATAATTACCTGTTTTTGAATTGTTACGATTGTTTATTGGCTGCTAAATGCGACCGCTGATCCGGAAACCCCTTTAAACGTCTCTGTATCAGGGGGTAGTTGAGAAGTTCCCGATGTTACATTTTCATGCTAAAGGATACGTAAAGCTCTTGCTTCTGCGTTTGATATCATTGGATAACAAATACAACAAATAAAACATAAACAACAAATAAAAGTTTCATTAATAAAAACCTGTGTCTTATAAAACAAGGTGTTGATATTATTGCTTCGACAATGGGACTTTTAGCCAAAGTAATAGCAATGATATATTTTTTTCAGGATGTCTCAGTTCATAGTCCCGTGTAGTGAAACAGCGCTGTCAAGTGCTGTCGCAAGCGCATTAGAACGCTTGTTGACGGTCAAACGGGACCCTATTGTGAGGTTTGACCAGAGAACCGCTCTATGGACTTACTTACATAGACATAAGTAAGTTATTTATTGAATTTCATTTAAAGTACATCATTTATTTATTATTTTAATAATTCTATAATTTTTTTTACAGAAGCGAAGAAGATTTTGCTAAGACTAATGCTCGAAGCCGGAACAAAGCAAATGTTTCTGCCCTTCCTGTGAATTCTCCACAAACACAGGTCACGATTACAATATTGATTCACTCTCTATGAATCGCTTTTTCACTTAAAGATAAATATAAAATCAAATCTTTACACATCTTAGGAACTTTGTCAACTTGTGAAATTCAGATGAACTTCACAAGATTTCATTTAAAAAAAATACTATTTAGCCGATTGCCTATGGAACCTCCTGTTCCATCATGACATATATGGTGGATAGTGAAATTTAAAAGATTTACTAGTAAAATCTCATAGTTGGGCCCGTTTGATTCATTTCGACTAGCTTTAGCCATTGTAGTTGTTCAAAAGCGGTCTTAAAGAGAGCAAAATATTTTTTTTACTAAAAGATATACGAAATTCAAAATCATTTTAAAGAGTATGTGACCCACCTTTGGGGCTAGAATTTTCTGTTGGATTTTATACACAGAAATCCCCGCGGTATAACACCTACTTTCTAAAAAATCTTCAAAGTCTATTCACAACATGTGTGTAAATATTGCGTAACAAACATACTGTGAAAATATATACACCCAAATTTGATTTTTAAATCGATGCAAAAATTAATCTACATTCTAAATATTATAAAAAATATTGTTTATATTATAACATATTATATTTGATTTACATATTCTGTTCACAGATGGATTTAGACGTAGCGAATACAGAAGAGGTGGGCGATAACGCATCAGACAGTGACGTGGACGTCGACGACACCAGCGCACCCTCCGCCATACCTCATCTCTCTTCTGCACAACTATTAATGCAAGCGACTCAAGCAACCAATAAACAACCGACAACCAAACCCAAGGGGAAACTGGTTCCCATTCCTCCCAAACCTAAAACTTCAGCGAAACTGCCCTCTCTAATACAAACCAAACCGCAACCAAAGCCACAGGCAACCACACCAAAAGCAACCACTCCAAAGCAACCGCAAAAGCAAAGTCTGTTAACCACGAAATCTATGCCGGCTTTAGCAAAAAGTGTTCCGAAGCAAAGTATGGTACAATCGAAGCAAATAGTGAAGCAAGGCGTTCAATCTCCGAAGCAAACGCAAGCGAAACAAAGTATTGTTGTGCAAACTGTCAAGCAAAATGTGCCGCCATTGACGAAGCAAAATAGTGATTCAATATTGCAAATGTCCACTAGTTTGCCTTCAATCGTTGTGGCGCCGCAACGGTCGCCGTTAATGAAGCAAAAGTTGAAAGTCGAATCGCCACAAGTACCGGTATGTTGAGATAATTTATTATTTCATATTAGATTCAAAGTTATTTAACTATTTTATAGTACGCATATTATAACTTCAAAAGGAGGCCCGTGTCCAGCAGTCGGACGTTAAAAAGGGCGGAACGCATTATATCTGCTATTAAAAAATTAGCTGCAAATGCTTTTTTCAAAACTATTTCCAATATTATTAATTCGCAGTAGCATCACTTTATTGGTGGATGTTTTATAGGTCGTCTCATTCGTCTCGTCACATCAAAAATATGCGTAACGGGTACTGCATATTTTTAGCTTATTAATTTCAATATTATTTTAAATTTTATACTTTATAAATTTAACCTAAGATATATTCTTATTTATTAAGCTAACAAGGCTAGGCATATTGGCTTTACATACAAATGTAGCAAGTTATAATTATTTTTCATAATATGTATTAATAATCTATTACTCATTATTTCACTTCAGATTACAATAATCATGTTACAGGTAACATTGAACATACCAGGCCAGCAAACGCCATCAATATCGACCATAATGCCGCCCAATGCTACAGTTTCGCATCATCAAACGATAAATCAATCTGCCAAGGTGATGAATCAAATTCCTTTAATTGATTGTTTTTTTTATGTTTCGGATTAATTTAAAAACTGTAGGGAAATCTCCAAAGTAGCATAGCATTCTGTAAGTGACATTATATGCTATGTTCAGATGATATCAAATGGTAGGGTACGAAATTGATCTAGAAGAGAACTTACAATAGACGATTATAATCTTTTAGAAAATAAAACACTCAGATAAATTATTATATACATATATCATACTATTTATTTATATTCTGTTACTAACCGATTCCAAAAAGAATGAATAATTACTGTCAAAATAGTTTAAGGTTGGCGTAGCTTTTAGTTAAAAAATAATGAATTATTTTATTCAATTTTACTGTACATTTGGCAGATGACGCAAGTGACCAGGTCTCTCTTAATAAGGCCGCCCGCCGTGCTGACGGCGGCGTCGTCCGCGAGCGTGGCCGTCTGCACTCCCTCTACACAGGTTGGTCATTATTTTGAATATTAAAAATATATTTTTTATACTGATCGAAAATGATTTATATCTGATCCTATTATTATTATAATGATGGATGGATGGATTGTTGTTACAAATTCACGGCAGAATACTGCACGGATCTGGAAGTCACTTGGCACAGAGATAGATTATACTCTGAAATAGCACATTGGTTACTTCTTATACCGGAACGGATCCCGTGGGATAAATTTGTTTTTGTTTTTAGCTAGTATGTTTATATTTTCTTTTTATTCGGTTCATTTTTTTGTTAATGTAGTCTACACATTTGGATTTGTATTTTTTTATCTATATACACATTAAAATGAAATGTTGTTCGTTGATAATCGCGTCACTTGGAAGTTTCTAGGTATTTTTGCTGAATAAGTATTAGGTATAAAATGATAATAAATAGAATGTTTCTCGGAAAATTATGAAATGGAAAAAAGATTAAGGTGCTATTTTTCAAAGTCAAAGATAGCAAAACATTTTTTGGACAGGACAGGTTTTGCCGGTCAGCTAATTAGTAATAAATATAATATGTGTAATTATTGTGGATTCAAATAAGTTATAAATATGAAAATGTAGATCTGTCTTTTTAACATTTATTAGCTTCATTTCTATGTTATTAAATGTTGGTCCCTCTGGATGATAAAACTATAATTCTGTACATAGTTGGTTGGAATAACACTTCTTTTAAGTATTTTAGAAATATAATTATTTAAATGTTGTTTACCACTCAGGTAACGCCGAGTGGAAGGCGTGGAGTCGTCAGAGTCTTAAGTCCAGCAACTCCTTCGTCCGGGAAGAGTCTGATATCGCCCAGAGCTCTTATGCAGCAAAGTAAGTTAACATAATATAATTGTAATAATTAAAACAAATTAAATATATTTTATTAATTTGCTTTAATTTCCTTCAAGGTACTTCAACAACTAAAAAACGACCGTCCATACCTGGCACAACGTCTGTTACGACAATAGCACAGGTAAAACTCGATGTTATTTTATCACTACATATTATAAAACACCGCGTAAAAAATACAGAGTCTATGTCTCTGTCTGTCCGAATTGGTTTTCATATGGTTTTTACCAATGATAGACTACAGAGAGTAATTCATGAGAAATGTTTAGGTATATAATTCATTAAGGTTTTGTGTAAATTGACTGAAATATTTCGATGACTGTTGATGATATCGGAAAGAATCATGCCGACCGGGAGCTTTACTGGCGTGCGTAGCGTAAACCAATAGAGCTTTAGTTGATAATCATTTAATGTTATAGTTACGTAACGGTTTATTAGGGACATAGATGCAGTATCGGCTGTTATAAATCCAAAAGGTGTTAAAACTCATTTGAACATTTGAGCGCGCTTTTAAATTTTTTTTGTAAAAAAACAACTTTAAGCATTGCATTTAAGGCGCAATTGACATTGTTGTATATTCATTTCAACTAGAATAATTACCTAAACATAATTGGTGACAGTTTTAAGGGAAAACTTTTGCATGGGGTTGTGTTGTATCTAGTACTTTTTTGATCGATGCCTGTAAACCATACAAACGTTTTAAGATCCTTAGTCAAGGACTGGTATGAAGTTTATCAATGGTGGTCATCTATGTTATTCTATTATTCTATTTCAGAGCACCTTGAGTACAACAAATGTAGTGTCCAGCATACCGACGGCAGTGTCGTCTTCGGTCACGACCAGAACAGTGCAGTTGGCTGGCGGACGCACTGTGCAGCTCGCTACCAACCAAACTGTTCACTTACCCTCGGGACAAGCAGTGCAACTAACTTCAGGCCACACTCTGCAACTATCTTCACTCCAGTTACCCACCCACAGTGTTAGACTCCCGAGCGGTCAAACTGTACAACTAGCGTCCCCACAAACTGTCAGGATGTCAACAACACAAGTTAAAAACCCCAGTCCGAAAACACAAACATCATCACCAACTGTTAAGCCTATGAACCAATCTGTACAAATTCCCGTATCGACGGTTCAACTGGCTGGACAAACTGTTCAAATAGCTGGTCAAACGGTTCAATTAGCAGGTCAAAGCATGCAATTAACTGGGCACACTGTGAAGTTACCGAGTGGGCAAAGTGTGCAAGTGGCAAGTCAAAGTGTTCTACCTTCTCAAAGTGTACAATTACCGAGTGGTCAAACAGTGCAATTAGCAAGTGGCAACATGCAAACCGTACAATTAGGTCAAAACGTGCAACTTGGTGGTCAAACTGTTCAAATGAGTGGTCAAAGTGTGCAATTAGGTTCACAAACTGTTCAAATAGGTGGCCAAACTGTTCAGTTAGCGGGTGGTCAAACGGTTACGTTGCCGAGTGGTCAGACTTTACAGTTGTCCAGTGGTCAAACTTTACAGTTAACTAGTGGTCAAACATTACAATTGGCAAATCAGCAAACACCGAAGTCAATAGCTCAAGTAGTTAGAACACAGCCTCCTGTAGATAAACCATCACAACCCATAGTTGCTAAGCTGTTAACTAATGCGCAGGTGAGTTACGTTGTAATATTCAAATAAACTATAGTTTGTACAATTTATTGTACAATTAATATTATAAATGTTAATTGGCTTACTGCTAATATGTGGATTAAAATATAAAAAAATGTAAACGATTTATTTATTACTTATTTTTACATAAATTGTAATTGCTAACTCATCATTTAATAAAAAAAACGTATACACGTGAAAAATCAATGCTTTCATCATGTTTGTCCAGACTTAAGTATGTTAGGCGCTACATACTTAGAGTTAGTAAGTCATCAGATATCATACTCTAGGTTACGTTAAAAAAAACGTGTGTGTGTACTTATGTACACACATAAGAAGTTATACTTCTTTGGCGTAACAGAACAAAAATAGCTAAAGATTTTCATCCCGTATGTCATAACTCTCTGTTTGTAAAAGCAATGATAAAATAATAATAAATATATATTTTTTATCTCCACTGATATTAAAACACGTGTTATAATAGAGTTATTTATGAGTTTTAACGCTAACTTCATCATGTCGCTTTTTGGCTGTCAGGTACGCGCGCATCGCAAAAATTTTACTTTCATATTTTTTCGAAACCTGCCAAAAGAAGTGTTACTTCAAAAATATATTATAATCTAAGAAATTATTAGCAGTAATATGTAATGTGTGCAGACGCAAATGATCTCGCTAGAGGGCATGGTGGGCGGCGGCGCGCCGCGCGCGCGCGGCGTGCGCGTGCTGGCGCCCGCCTCGCGCCTCGCGCGCCCGCTGCTGCTCACGTCCGCCAAGCCGCTGCACAATATTATTTTACAGGTAAATTACTTGTTAATATATTATATAATAATCTAACAGAACCCGTGGCTACGCCCGCGTTCCATCTACAAAAAAAAACTCTTTGGCTCCGGAAGGAAAAAAATCGTAGATAATAAATAATAATTCGACGACATGTTTGGCTCAGTTTGTAGTGACCCTACTTGCAGCCAGCGGTCGCGGGTTCGAGTCCCGCTGGGGGCATTCATTTGTGTGATGAGCACGAATGTTTGTACTCCAGTCATGTGTGTTTATAAATATTTATAATATGTATGTATTTAAAGTTATATATGTGTAGTGTAGGGCTGTGGTAGCCCAGTGGTAACACACTTGCTTGGGAAACCGAGTGAAGCGGGTTCAAATCCCGGGTCTCGCACCTCTGATACTTTCATGTGCGAATCATTTCTAACATGATTACCACTTGCCTTACGGTGAAAAAAAAGGACTGAATACATGTGTAGTGTATCAACTATCTGGTATCCATAACACAAGCCTCGTAGCTTACCATGGAACTAGATGGCGCTGTGTGTTAATGTCCCAACAATAATTTGGAGCGGTCCCCCAACGCGACGTATTTTTTTAGAATTATTAATACATACTTAGGCACTTCAAAATTGAGTTTTTTTATTACTTTTTACATTTTAAAGGGAACTTAGGTTTTTTTATCGAGGGTTTTTTAAATTTTTAGTTTCATTTTTTAACCTACTTCAAAGTGTCGTATCGCGAGGTGGTCTAATGATGGAGTGGTAACGTGACAGTGGAAAAGACTTATTATTTGCTGGTTTATATTTCTTCGGGTCCTTAAGCTACAACATAAAGTAACCATAATAAAAACAGAACCTTTGAACTTTTAACGTTTGTGTATAATATTATATACTTGCTCATTGTAAATTTCTATAATTATATTAATTCGATTTAATGTCTTTTTCAGCAAAGCGACGGCACTGCCATACGAATGACATCAACCGGCGGGACATCTACTTCACAAACTATAGTTTTAAGCAATTTAGGTAATAATGCAAAAAAAAAAATTTTTTTTCGGCTTTTCACCGTTTTGCACGGTGGGGTTTATCTAAGTAACTTTTTATGTATACATAATATGATGTTCAGTGGTATATTCAAACACCTAGGCCATATAGCTTTCTTAAATTTTGACTCGATTTTTGAACCTCATCAAAATGTCTTCGTGAACTCCTGAAACGTTTATCGCGTTTTCTGTGGTGTGGCATATTTAAACAACTATTTAAAAAAACTTATATTACTACTCGATGAATAAGGATGAATATCAAAAAAAAAACATAAAAAAATATATGTAAGCGTTGCTCCGTTACTGCGTCAAGAACTCTTAATATTAAAAAAGAAACAACACAAAATGAAACAAATTCAAAAAGAAAAACGACCTCTTAAAAAGTCAATAATAATTCCCATTTAATATGTCCCATTTAAAGGAAATCATAGAAACCGAAGAGTTAGTTATCTCTTTTAATAAAATAATAACCAGCTAAGTTTATATTGTCTAAATTATTCACAGATACACACGTTAAATTTATAACACCCATTTTTGTGTCAGCGGTTAAAAAGGGGGCAACGCCAGCCAACCAAAGAAGTACATTTGGGCATTTATTAAGCAGTTTTTTTTTTACTTTAACAGGAGCGCAAACGGTCACGACTTCTTCCACAACAACGCCTGTATTGAAACTGCAACAGGTACATACATACATTAATTTATTTTAACAATTTAATTTCTGTTAGTTTTATTTGTTTTTGGTTTTGATTTATACACGTTATATCGTAGTAAAATGTGCTAATCGTTGTTTGTGTTAAACGTTTAAAGTATTTTTAACGCTCATTTTCTATTTCATAACCATTTTATTATTATATAAAAGAAGGGATATGTGTACGACCAAATATTTATATGTGAAAATTTTGATAGAATTAACTATTCTATATTAAAACAGTTTAAAACTATAGGTGTAAAAATAATGTTATAATTATCGCAGGTTAATCCAATACATCAGGTTAAACTACCGCAGACTATTAAAATCCAACAGGTGATAAATGCATGCCATCCATACAGCTCGAGTGAATATAGTTACGGTGATTTGTGCATGACGTATGAGTGACGTTTGATATACTTATAGGTACACTGTGGACGAGCTTTGACAGCTGTTATGATAGAAATCGATAGAAATAATTGATATATAGTCTTCTCGATTTTTCATATTCTGAAGCAATATGGAAATGACACTTCTTAAAACTAACGAATATTCTAATCAATTTTACTGTTATCGATTTTATTTTAGCATAGTAATTATATCGATATTACTTTAATTTCTTTTTTTGGTATTTGAAGAGGCTATGAAAAGCCCCTTTAATTATTTAGTAGGTCATATTATAGTAAAATTATTGCCTTACCAAATATTAAAGTGCTGTATTTAATATATATTTTTATAGAGATATATTTAAATTATAAAACTGTCAGAGCTCAGCATGCATAAAATAACCTTAAAGGTTGTGGGACAATTTACCTAATAGTGCACCAATACGTTATGATAACTACACTTTGTTACCAATTTCACTGTATATATGACACTGATTGAACACGATAATATAATGTATAGAGAAAATATAGTTACTAATTAATATATTAAATAACTATGCACATGTTATGTTAAGATTAAGATATTTTCTTATAAAAATGATAGACATATTAGTATGCACATTTAATCGTTAGCATTATTGTTATAAAAATGATATAACACAGACAACATAAAGTTACACACATAGTGTACACCAAAAATATGACTATGTTATTTTTAACTTAAACTAACATTTTCTAGTCATATTAAAAGGATAAATAAATTTAAATCTTATTCGATCGTTTTCTATACAACCTATTTAAGAAAGGCAATGCATGTCATTTTAGGGTTGTGGTGGTTTGGATCGATTAATTAATGTCGATAATTATTTTCAGGCACGAGCTGTATGCCATGATGAAAATATAATTCAATTACAGACTAAAATAATAATAACAATATTTTTGTAATATTTTTTTTAAATTGTAATACATATAAAATAAATTTTTCATTACTTATTTGTTATTATTATAATAATTAAATTTGTAACTCTTTCAAGTTGTAAATTTACAAAAATAAAAAAAAATCTTATCTCTGTAACATATTTATAGAAAACTAAATCTTATATTGGATTAAATAAATTTTTAGGCTGTATCGAGTCCTTCAGTTGCGACATCTAGCGGTGTAAGAAGCGTTTTAATGGACGGTCAACAGTTGAAGTTAGTTGGTGGCCGTCACGTGCTCGCCAGATTACTGAAACCCGCCCATCCGCCGCCATAAGATATCATATTAAAAAATATTTTATTTTCATTCTGTTAAAATAGATAACAAGTCTTTTTTAAATTGATTTTTCTTTTGTTATTTATTCAAGTATTTTAACCAGCAGTTGAGTAAGATATTTTTGTTACACAGACATATTTAAGTTATTTTTGTTTAGAAAATGAGGTGATGTTTTTATTTACCTATGGTTAAACAAGATATTATATAATAAATTTTACTTGCATTGTTTAAAAATCTCTTTCAACTGATATAAACTTACATGCTGTTTGTATGTGGACAATTTGATGTAATAAGTAATTATAAATAAGTTGTATTTTTGTAAATGAGTTTACTTACTATGAATAAAATTTAACATATACATATTTGTTTGACACTTAATATAAAAAAAGAACATCTTTTAATTCAATAAAGATACATTGTTTTTTTTTTAATTTCTTTAGCACTTTTTATTCTATATATTATTCGTAAATAAAAAAACAATCCTGACTGTGTTATTTATACTTTAATATAAATAAAGAAAAATCAATTCTACTGATAATTTTTTATGTTAATAGAAGTTTTATATAAAGGTATAACTTTTTTATTTGTATATATGTTGTTTTAAGTTAAACTCAAAAAGTACTGAAGAGATTTATTATATCTGTATTATATAACTTAATCTTATCGGTTTAAACTTAAATATTGAAACTCAGTATTTTATTTTTACTAAAAATGATGAATAGCTACGAAAGTATCATTTATATTAGTTCATTTGTGTATTTATGTTTCTAGTACGTATTTAATTTACATTTAATAAAACGTGACCTTCTGGTCTCTGTAAAATTCGTTTATAATTTGATTTAATTCTATGTGGATGAATTATTAATACTAATCTCAAGTGATGTGTTGAACTTAAATATAAATTATTATTTAAATAATATTATTTGATTTTTTTTTATTCTGACGAAGTTGATGAATAATTAAAACGTTGACGGCTCCAACAAAATTGATAACTAATTGGTATGCGAAGTAAATGTCAAAATTGTATAATTGATTATACATTCATAATATTTAAAATTTGATTCGCTTTAATTCATTGTCACCAAACAACACGCAAGAAAGAACTAACTAGATCTTATTTATGTCTATTCTTAGCATATTTTTTTAGATGTCTCGGAACTTCTAAAGTTGACAATTATATTTTAAATGCAAATATGTCGAAGTTTTTTTTAGAAAAGCTGACGTTTATTCTCCCCGTATCTATTAGATGAAACTACTTGTCTAATAGCCGTATTTATTACTTCGTGTTTTTTTGTGCATGGACTTATTTATGCAAAATATATCCAGGCACAAAAACTTACTTTTGAAAAAATAGGACTTTTAAAAAATTGGTATATCAAAATAAGAAGACTAGTTTTTTTTTTAAATTCCTCGTAAGTATTAGGTATTTAATCTACTTTCTGTATATAATTTAATATGTAGGTGCCATTTATGACAGTAACTACTAACTCAAAAAACGGTTTTCGTGGGCTGGATCCACTTTGCATAACTATGTCCATATAAAAAGTCACATCTTTAAAATATAAACGAAAGGTAAATATGTAAATATACTTCTTTCTTACTTAGTTTGAAACCGCAACCAATTGTGTATTTTATATACAAAAAAGCTAGTCATTTTTAAATTGGATATATGACTTTTTAACATGAAATCTATTAGGTTATATATTTTTTATACAATATGTATATTTTCAAATGCGACTTTTTCTGTGGCTTTCTCGATATTAGTTTTGCACACCGTAGGAATGTTTTTCTTTCACACTAGCAAACCCGCTATTAATTGACATTTATATACTTTGTTGATTAATTTTTTGTTCAGTTTTGTCTATTACATAGTATACTATAATTAATAATAAAATAACTTAGAAAATAAACGCGTGCGCTACTAAAAAACTATTCGGAAATTTAGTAGCCGCTTCTTCGCAAATTATTTTTAAAGTTATACTTCTTTTGGTGCATTTGGAAAAAAATATGAGAGTAACGTTTTTATGATGCGCGCGCACACCGATAACCGAAAAGCGACATGATGAAGTTAGCTGCATTCCTTTTACAAACAGAGAGTTGTGACATACGGGATGAAATCTTTAGCTATTTTTGTTCCGTTACGCCAAAGAAGTATAACTTCTTACGTGCGTACATAAGTACACACGCTCACACGTTTTTTTGTATGAAAAATAATATAAAAAGGTTTTTTATTGAATAATATAATACCTAAACAGGTATCACACAAAACCAATATGGCATATAAGAAACATTATAAGCATTGAAAATAAAAGAATACTGACACATTTAAGTTATTTTTAATTAATTTATATACAAAATATTTAAAATGTTAACGTTTTGATCTTTTTGGTGGTGTACATGTATTTTACCTAATTTGGTACTGAAAGTAGTACTACTCGTAATGGAAGCATTAAAATATGTTTTATTTATTGTAAAGTTTAATTAATAATTTGTAATTATTGTAAGTTAGATAAGTTAACATTTAATGATAAATTGGTTGCAATATCTGGGATTTTTACTATAATATAAGTCAATTCAGATATATTTGTGTTTTTTTAACCCCTTACGGAGCGATCATTTATTAATTACGTGAGACTATTTTGGCGATTTTTCGACCGCCACATGCCCCCTTAGTTGCTTAGTCATGTGTTTGAAAATTAGACACATTCTTGATAGTGTTGTTAAAGAATTTTCCTTATCATCTATACTAATATTATAAAGGGGTCTGGGGACTCTGTGATCTTGGAACATTACTACGTCTAAATAAACGGATGATGTGATGCTTTGTCAGCTTTTGCATTTTTATGGTATTTTATCTTTATTTACATCAACCTAATATTTCTGTAGTATTAATATTCAGGGCACGTATCTATATATGTAACATATTAGGACCTTTAAATATACGAGCATACACAAAAAAGTGTTTTTGTTTGAACGCGCTAATCTCGGAAACTACTAAACCGATTTAAAAATTTTTGTATTAGATAGCCCGTTTATTGAGGAAGGCTGTAGGCTATATATCATATAATATATTTTACTGCCTCGGTGGTGTAGTGGCTAGCATGTACGGCTGCACACCCGGAGGTCCTGGGTTCGAGTCCCGGGTTGGGCCAAGTTTAGTTATTGAGTCTTTCTGTATAGTAAGCCTCAGTAACAGCTCGGAGTTGGGAAGTTGGCGGTGTTTCACCCCCGTGCGTCGGAGAGCACGTAAAGCCGTCGGTCCTGCGCCTTAACTCTCACTGGTCGTGTCGAGCAGTCGTCCCACCGGAGTTGAGAGTGACAGGAATAGAGAGTGCACTTGTGTCTGCGCGTGCAATTGTGCACTATAATATCTCCAGCGCAGTTGGCAGTAGTCTCAATGAGATTGGCCGCCATGGCCGGAATCGGTCAGGAGAACATCAATATAATTAGTTTATCTATTTCATACTAACCTTTACAATCTTATAAGATCATCTTTGCTATAAAGGATTTTTTAAATGTCAACTTTGACACTTTTATTATTTTTTATATTTTAAATAATTACACTTAATAAAGTAACAAAGAATTATTAAAATTCGATGTCTAGAAAAGCATTGAAGACATATTTTCTTAACTATCGAAATGATGTTAAGAAACTTTTTTGTTGAATAATATTTAAAGCAATAATTATGTTTATCTATACCTAATATGTATACCAAAACTGTAGAGGTCGAATGGCTGTACATAGAAAAAAAATGCTGACAACCGAGTCAGTGGGATGTAAGAAGAGAAATAGAACAAATCCAGATTTTCTGCAATTTTTTTGTTTCTCTATCTGTTTATCTGTTTTTCTGTTTGTACTAAATGAAAAAAAAATAGTTTTGGTATATCATAGAGTATACATACTTCTAGTAATGCCATCTGCATTACTACATTATACTGTATTATATCAAACGATAGCCGCTCTAGTGTAAGTTTGTTTACTTAATAACTAGTTGTGAGCGAGTATAATATTTACCTACATTACAAATTGAATAGCGCCCCGCCCATTTGCGTGACAAATTTATTTGTTCCATGCTAATACGATACACACTGGCTAATAGTCCGAGAGCTGCCGACGAATTTTGGAAAGGTCCTTTTGGATAAAATAGAAAAATATTTTGGTATGGCAACTTGGTTTTTTTTTTATCTTTTAATTTAGTTTTTATATAATTCAAAAAAAAGAACCCCAGACGTTTTTGTCGGTTATAAAGTATTACCAGACCTCTCCAAAGATATTTTATTTTTTTAAACTGAAGTTTTATAGTAACTTTCAAATTACAGAAACTTAAAAAGTCACGAAGTAAGCTGCTTACATTAAAATATGAAAAGACTTTTTTTTCAATGATGCACGATTAGATTAAAAGTAAATAATTAATTTTACGTGAATTCTTTGTTTAATTTTTCATTTTTTCTCAAGCCAAAAATAGTAATTATTGAATTTAATACTTCAAAATATATGCAGCAAGCGTACTAATTATTGTTTTTACATTTTTAATTAATTTTCAATTTTAAGAAAAAATGAAAATCGGCCAAGTGCGAGTCGGACTCGCGCACGAAGGGTTCCGTACTATTATCTATAAAAACGGCAACAAAATCACGTTTGTTGTATGGGAGTCCCCTTTAATATTTATTTTATCCTGTTTTTTAGTATTTGTTGTTATAGCGGCAATAGAAGTACATCATCTGTAAAAATTTCAACTGTCTAACTATCACGGTTCTTGAGATACAGCCTGGTGACAGACAGACAGATAGACGGACGGACAGCGGAGTCTTAGTAATAGGGTCCCGTTTTACCATTATATATAATATCCTTGGAGAGGTCTGATAATACTTTCTAACCGACAAAATCGTCTGGTTTTTTTTTAATTATATAAAAACGAAATTAAAAGGTTAGAGTAAAGTAAGAGTAAATCTAAGAAAGTACTATTAGATTAAAAAAAATCAAGGTGCCAAAAAAATATTTTGAGTTTTTTTCCAAATGTTATTACTGCGTAGTAACGAAATAACCGCAAACGCTATCCTAAAATCGCGGTACTGGATTCGCTAATTGACGAAATTTTTTTTTTCATAATTCCAATTTGCCAAAAGGACCTTTCCAAAATTCGTCGCCAGCTCTCGGAATATAATTTTACCTGTGCACAGTAGAATACTTGCAGTAGAGTTATGTTATCATAAGAACTTAAAGTAGGTATGCGAGTTCCGTTTTTCAAACGCAAACACGTTAAAGATAACTTTGTTTTAAAATGTTCTTTCTTGTACAGTGGTAAGAGTCTGATCGTCTTTTTCTATTTCGATTTAAGTCGCAAATTCGGTTTACGCATGTGGCTGTTAACGCATTGGTTTATGACTGGCAGAAGAATTATTAAGTTAATAATGTTATGTCTATTGGGATTAAAGAGAAAATTGTTAAGAGTATAACTGTTTAAGTTTGGCTATTGGGAACATAGAATATATGTATATTAATTTGTTCTAATTTTAAACGTTGTGTTACATGATATGCATTTCCATAATTAACGAGTTTTTTCTTAGTAATAAGAAGTAGCTATTGCATAATCTGTGGTCAAAATAAGATTAAAATCGGTGGGAAAACAATTTATTTCATAAATTATGTACATGGGTGTTCCAGCGTATAAAATAATAACACTGCTAGAAGAATAACTATTCAGACACAAAAGCTAACTAACTTAATATCTAATATATAGTGTGCGATATACATTTGTTAATATGATATAAAATATTGCTAGCGTGATAATGGCTCGATGGTGTTTGTAGCGTATCAGGCTCATAAGACTGATTATATTTTCTATCACGATCTTTGCTAATTTGAGGGCAAGCAGGCGCAAATTACACAAAAAAGTAGATTATATGTTCTACTTTTAATCTAAAAACGATATTAGGAACATTAGTTTAAATTTAACAAACGATAACACCACCAACAAATATATTACTTATAGAATAAATTAAAGAACAATTGTAATGAATTAATACAATTTGTTCATAAATAGACACGTTATCCTCATTATAATGTTCTAAATTGAAAATAAGCTGAAATTAATTGATTTATTATAATACTATACTTAGAAAAACATGATTGTAGGTATATTACATTACATTTTATAGTGTTGATCTTTGATATATCTTATCTTATGTAGGATAGCCAGTGCCCGTGCCCCCAAATCCACTATTTTTATTCCTCAAGACTCAAGACGACGCCATATTTAATTTCCTAACTACCTAAACAAGTCCATCTCCACACATCAGGGTATATATCTAACATTGATTTTATAACACACAGTCACAGAAAATATACTAAAACAAATAGTGCCCTTACAAAAATACGTTTAACACATCGGAGTGGTCTCCTCTAATTACTGAATAACGCAATCCTATATCAGTCTTATTTCTATTTTAAAAGATATAAGGACATTATTGATGAACTATTACCGATAGAAACACAGAAACACCAAGATTGATATTAAATTCCATCTTACATAATATGTCTACATTAAAAATTAAATACATACATACGCTTATTTGATATACCACAGGGATTTGTTAATACTGACGAGTCATACAATTGAAATTTTCAGAGATATGATATACATAGGTACATAGAGTATGGTATCCAATGTATGCTCAGATTGTTTATGGGTACTTTATTCCTACGGGATTGGTGGTACTAGAAACAACTATGCTACAGGCTTTCATAGAAAGAGTAAAAAAAGAAAGCTTTAAGCTAAAGCTTTCGTCAAAAGTCCTTTTGTAAAAATACTTTAAACTTAAATTGTATACAAATGCTACTCTCACTATATGTAATTTTTTGTGGTACTTCATAGTTTATACGAAACTTTTATCATGATCATTTATTTTTCTATTAAATTTTATTAAAACCATCACGATTCACAAACTTTTAACTTTCATATTTGGCTCTAAGAGTTGGCTCTTTCTATGACATCTGTAAATAAATTAATAATAAATGACTTGTATTATCTACAAATGCACATAAAAGCTATAAAAAATTGCAGAATCTAATTAAATAAGATTTAATTTGAACAATTCAAAACAAACAATGAATGGAATTCAGCCTTACCAATGATTTTAATAAATACATTGTAGAATTACAATCGTAACAAAAATAATTTTAGCAGCTTTGGCATTTGATTAACCTAATATATTTTTAAAAATCTAGGTGATCACAAAATATACTTAACTAGGTACACATTCTTATATCGTATCTCTGAATATGCAATTTGTCGGCTTTCGGGAATAAAGCCTAGCTAACCTTCCATTATATACAAACAATAGGCACTGAAAGTGTAAAATATGTACGGTATGTTAGAAGAACTTAAAGTAAAGTCTCTTTAATTGCCGAGAAACTACTGTATAGCGGCTAAATCATTACAGGGTGCTTCGAATGCCTTATGTACAAAATATGCAAATAAGCGTTTCTGATAAATCTTTTATTTTCGCTTTCAATTCCATTTCTGAATTATCCTAAATCGGCGAACTTAGCTCTTGACTTAATTACTATAAAATGCTTTTATTTTGCAGCCGTAATTCCATTTAAAAGTTAAAATATTAGTATTTTAGGATATTAAGGAGTATTTATGTTATTAAAAAAAATTAAAAGCTTAATTGTTCTCTATTATGGCGTTATAATTTTTTTAAAAAATTATATTACAATGAGCGTGACATTACGAAGCCGCTTCTATAAAGGTAACCTAGCTTTGTTTTGTATTCCCATTTTTTGCAAGTACATGAGGCATTCATTGGGAAAAAGCAAGTTAGCGATAGTGATCTCACTCTTCCACTTCTTCGGGGTTTTCTGCAGTTAATAAATTGGTGTTATCATCCGCTTGCAAGTCGGCGGTAAGCTTCTGGAACAAGGGGCACGGATTAGGCATCTAAAAGTCATTTTTCATGTTAACATCTTTTTATAACAGTCCATAATAATCACTTGATGTAAAACAAAGAGTAGGGGAGAGCGGGGTTGGAAGTTCCGATTTTTAAATAACATGAAATTTTATTATTAAAATGAAGGGTTTCATTTTTAACATGTGCAAATATTGAATGGATGTTTATTGGTTTTTGTAATATTATAGTCATTTATACTAGTATCTCAATAGTTTTTTTTACAGAAGCAATTTTTTGTCAATTTCGGAGCGGAACATTCAAAATTTGCCCCGCTTTGGGGCGAGTTGTTCCATCGTTGGGGCAAATTGTTCCACTTAGATTATAACAATAATCTATCCGAATAACATAGGTTTTATAAAATAAAACAACCATTTCTATTATTTATGATAATGTTTAAGTTTAACCAAAAATAAACTTAAAAAAACAAACTATTACTTACTGGTACAAAATATTACTGGTCCAGATAAACTTTTTGTAACTTTAAAAAACAACAAATCCTAAATGGTGAGCTCCAGATAAACGTTTTCTTTACTTTATTAACATATAATGGAGATCTATCAACTTATAAATCTTATCAGATGCATAACTTGACTTCAAGAAACAACAAAACATAATCTCCAAATTAACTTATTTTTATTTGTTTAAATTATTCATTATATATAATAATTAAATTTGGCAAACTCCATTCTCATTCATCAGGAATCTTATTCGACACTAATTTCTTTATCTGACTCACAGTTGGGACACACATAAGTACGTCTCTAAACATCCATTGTTCTCTTGGACGAAAATTTGAATATATGCATCACAACAAATTACACCGTACCATTCTAGATCGTGCTAACATGTCAGTCTCGTTTTCTTGTAACACTCTTCGTTTAGCTTTTCCTTGAGATTTTCCCTTCCCTTTCCCGTTGGTTTTATATTTTCCTTTACTATTTTGTTTGTTTTTTTTCCTTATCTTTTCTTTGCAATGTCTTCATTCTTTTTTGTCTTCTTCTTTTTCTGTTCTTCGACTAACGCATTTTGTCTGGCGTGTCAGTTAAAATAGATTTTTTTCTTATATCCAGTGAAACAGTCAGCTCCAGCAAATTTCCGGTTCTCTAACCATCTCGAAGAATCTCGGAGGAGTCTCGGAGGGTTTACCTTCCTCTGTCTTATGATTGTAATTTCGCATCCTTAAAATGAAAAAAAAAAGGTCTAAAGTATTTTAGGTATACGACGAAGGTAAATTGGGGTAAGTTGTTCCGGGGAACAACCAGCCCCGTCAGGAAGGAACTTCTTACCCCAAATTACGTTCATATACGAAGACTGACATACTGGCAAACTAATATAATAAATTATAAAAATACTTATGCGATAATATACCTTACCAATATCACTACAATTTTGGAAAGTTACATATGAATCGGTCCATAATAAACATAGATAGACCAAATAGTTTAAGCACGAAAAAATTTACTTACGTGACGTTTTGACAGCTACGTGCACACAACCACTCAACCTTCGTCGCTGGAGTAACTAAAATGGCTGACGGCGCAGCGCGTTACCTGATGCTGTAACGGCGCACTTCACATCTATTGCTATGTCTTTCCCTTACAAAGTTATTACCGTCGGAACGACTTACCCCGGTAACTTCCAGCCCCGCTCTCCCCTACTAACATGAAACAAGGGCAAAATAAGAAATAAATGTTTATTGTTTATTGGCATTATATAATATTAACGAAGTAAGGATAATTTTTAGTAGAAGTAAGTAAGAAAACAAATCCACAACAGCACACACTCACGCACACGCACACATTTTGTTAGCTATTATTATTTGACATCGTAAAATTTACTCTTAATACTTAGCGCTATTTATAACCATGACTCATACCTACAAATGATTTTTTTACTAGCCACTCACCCTCGCTTCGCTCGGGTTCGTCCCTAGGTTGATGCCCCATACAAAATTTCATCTCTACTTTCACCCTCTTAAGGGATTATTTTCGGGATAAAAAGTATCCTATGTCCTTTCCAGGGTCTCAAACTATCTTCTTACCAAATTTCATCCAGATCGGTTTAGTAGATCCAGAGATTACCCCCTACAACCTCACAAACTCACAATTCACAAACTTTACCTCTTTATAATAGTAGTATAGATAATCGTAGGCTTTATTTATCAATATTACTATCTAATCATTATTTCGTAACTTAAATTTTTACAGCATCACAGTTTACTTGCAGTATAGACAATGAACACTTCACGCCGTTCTCTCGTCTCTGTGCAGCACCGATGACGAGACAATGCGTGCTGGCTGAGAAATTAGGTCACAAACATCGACGTCTATAGCTAATACAAATATTTATATTTCGCCAAATTCTTATAGATAAGTTAGATATGTGAACTATATTAAACTAAAATGAATGTTTACATAATACCTATATATAATACCTAGCATACCTATATAATAATAATATGTAATGCTATAAAACCTGTATCATTTATTTGATTTTGACAAAACTTTGTCGAGTTTTTCTGAATACACATGTGAATATTTCTGATAACATGACTGTACGCCAGATGACAAGCGAGCTATATGGGATAATTAAATTCATTAATTTGATTTGTTGGTTTGAATATATGATTGCGCCTAGCGCGAGAATTTTCTACTTATATGAATGGGTGGGTAACTTAGGACTCATCTAGTAACAAAATGGGTAAATAATATCGCAAAGCGCTAAGGAATAATTTCACTAAACTATTAAAATATTCTATATATCACGAAAACGTAACTAGCTCTTCTTGGTGATGGTTAACAAAATATTCAGTTTTACTGCTACATTAATAATAGATACAACAGCTATGCTCATTGATCATGCCTTCGACCACGATGAGGACATCACCTGAGTAATGCACCTATCTATAGATTCGTTATAAATTTTAATGGCTGATTAAGAAAGTAAACTATGTAACAAAGTAAACATAAAAAAATTAAATCCCATAAAATTATGAACAAAATCCGCGGACTTAGGGAGTAGGGACGCACCCGAGCGACGCTAGTTTAATAACATAACAAAGGATGGTCAAGTTATTTTGAAAAAATTGTGAAACTCGCGCACAGGTGTGTATATTCATTAAACGGTATATATTTAGATGTGTGTCCCTTATTACCAAAGCTAAGCCAAATTGTGTCACTAGTATAAAAAACGTACTCCAATTTGAGCTGACGCATTCGTGGTCCTTTTGCGACGCCGCACAGCAAGCGCCAGTAGTAACACTAGCACGATCGATGACAATGCTGCTACCAATAACGGCAGAAGTAGATTATCTCCAGGCGAGTATCCCTAAACAAAAAAATATATTTTTATACGGAATTATATACATATTTTTATTTAAACTTACGATATTTACATATTTATAACTGGAACTTTGAAACCAAATCTAATACAGTTTATATTTCTTTTATGATCTTGTTTTTAATTCTATAAAATAAATTTAAAAATGATATACCTTGCATGGACGGAGGACAAACATATTATTAATATGTATTATTTAAATCGATCAAATCAGGGTTAAAGTTCAATATCAATTTATAATCTTTAACTTTTCATAAAATTAAATATTGATATTAAAATTAATTATAATAAATTATATTTTATGAAGTAATATAGTCCTGTATTATAGCTAAATTGCTACTAACTGCTAACATACTCTCCCGGAAGCTATAAAGCTCCACTAGACAGGTATAAATAATGACGAATAGATGATTGGTAAATCTTACTTGAAAAATTACGAATATAACTTGCTAAATTGGAATATCGATATGTTAATTAGTTTGGGATATGTTTATAATTAATCGATTTATACTATTTTGATTAATTTGTTTAGAAAATTTAAATATAGTAATATATACTTTTCAATAATAAAAACGTGTAGGTTACAAGTTTCTAACAGTATCTACCTGTAACGGTCCTGAAGATTCATACTACATATATTGTTAATTGAAAGTTTAACTATACTGAAGATATTAAATGTAATAAGCATGTCATTAATGTATTAAACCACTTTTTCCTTTCTATTTATTTGTGGTCATTCTCAATCTTAGGTAAGACAAAATCATAACAATTTATACATGTACATTGTACGTATCTAAATTTAGTATTTACAAAGTTACTGTAATCTAAGATATTATTTATACTTTTTATCAAACTTGATATCAAACTTGATTTATAATTAATCAATGAAACTATTTAAATAATTACATAGGTTTATTATAATATTTCACTCGAATTGAAATTTTAATCTAAGCGAATTTTTGTAATAAATATGATATGATATGATACAGTTGATATTTATTTCGCTAAAGAATTTACTATCATGTAATTGTTTGCCATACAAAAATGTCACTTTTTCCCAGTATTTTTTTTTAATTTACAAGTTATGTAGGACACGTATCGGTTTAAATGAATGAGAGTATTTTCGAAATATCTATGTTGAATTTAAGAAAAGGTATAAAAATAAATGTTGAGAACAATTTAAACCTATAAAATATTTTATGGCCTACCATTTTCAGGCATAATGTGAACCATATGTATTTAAAATAACATTTAAGTAGGTATAATAATCAACTATTCAAAACATAACTCACTTTTATATTTTGTTATATTTAGTATTTCGAATTCTATTTTACCTCTACATTCAACGAAGCTTACAGAACTTGTTTTTCAGTTTTCATTACTAGATATGCGGATCAATAGTGAATGGTATTGTAAATTATGCACGCTTGTTGCTATAGAATAGAAGCTGAATGGTCTTTGTTAGTTGTTTAGATACGTTAAAATTATAAAATGAGGTTTTTATTTTTCATAAGTAGATAGAGAATTAACTTATGTTCAGAAAACAAGTAAAATATAAAATCTTTGCATACATTTTCTATTTTAACAAATATAAATTATGTAGCTCATAATATCGTTTAGCATTAGTAAAAGTCCATTAAGTAAAGTTATATCAAACAGTTTTGTAGCTATTTTATAATTTGTATAGCTCAGTTCATACCTTTAGATTGGTTACGACTTACGAGTTTATCGATCACGCAATCCATGCTCACGTAAATATAAACATTACATAAGTTAGCTAACTTGTAATCGTGCTTACCGTCCATTGGAAGTAAGATGACGTATCGACGAAAGGCCATCTCGCACCGTACCAGCCGCTATCAGTCGCTTTCGAAACTGTTACTTCGTCAAAATCATTCCCCGGCGCCGCCGAGTCGGGCTTCATAGGCGGTAGAGAGAAAACCTCGTCAACTTCTAAGGATTCTTTAAATTCGTCCTCATCGTCCACTGACAAAAGAGTATCCTTCAAATCCTTCATTAGTGACGTCTCACTCGTCTTGGCTAAATCTGTAGTTATTGGTGTCTGCGTAGTAGAACCTTTTGTAGTAATTAAAACGTCTTCAAATAACTTTGAATTGGCAGTTGCTGATTTCTCTAATGGGTTGAAGGCACGCGAGTAGTATTTAAATACATTTCGAATCGTTATTGGCTCAGGTGTTATCGTAGGCCTTATGATGATGTCCTTTTCCCAGGGCTTCATGGACACCGACATATAATGATCTAGTAAGCGAACACTCCCAGATGGTGTACCAACGAGAGGAATTTCTTCATTATCCTCAGTCGGAAGGGGTTGTATTGTTGTTGAGGATGATGAAAATTTCCACGATCTAAGAGCAGGCATAGTCCATGGTGGGGTAGTTGCTCTTACACTAATTACCGTGGTAGGGAGTGACGTAGTTGTGGAACTTGATGTGGTCGATGGAGCTACACTTGATTCTATCTGGGATTTCAACGTTGTAGTCGTGTCAGCTGCAATCATCAATTCCTTTTTCCGTGACTTAACAATTTCACGTCCGGCTGGCGTGAGAGGTGCACTAGTCATAAGTTCATGTTGATCATGCTGCATTCTCCGCGCGTAGAGAGCACCGTTAAGGACATATAGGGGAACTGATGCGAACGCTAGAGCTACTACGATTCCGATTACTACTAATATAATATATTTTAACGCGGATTTTCTTCTTGAACGTCGCACATGAATAGAAGGACTATAATCCCGGCCTTTGCCTTTCAATCCACTGTTGCTAAGGACTTCCTCTGTTTGCGGAAGTATAGTGTACTGAAGACTATTCTCGCCGTGTCTCACCGTCTTGTACATGTTAGCAGTTTAAGTCACAAAAAGAAGCACTACGTTATATTATTTCACGTGTAATCTTATCACATACTCGTTTTTCTTTGCTATGAGATGGCACCGTATGGGGAACGTTTACGAAACGTGTTTCATGAATGTTGTGGCCGGCTAGTACGAGTCATCGGAATTGTTCCTACTTTGTGAAGCTTTGATGGGTCTCTTGTTAGCTCAAGTGGCGGGCGCATGCGCGACAACATTGAGCGGCTGCGCCGTCCCCTACTGTCTTTCCGCCATCCCCAACGTTGAGGTTATGACTTGGATACCGGCTTTTATAAATTCTACATCACTCTCACGACAATAACAATAACATGAAAGATGGCTCGTCTCATTAGTAACGTGACAACGCTTTGAGTACGGTCTTCATACGTTATATGTAGATTTACGTAGCGAACTTTATTTCATTTGAAGAATTTCAATTTAATTCTTGATTAAATACAGTTGGTATTTTTAGTTTTTACCTGTTATAAATTTATAGTATTATCTGTAATTTATACTTTAGTTCTATTTTTGCTTTAATATACGTCTTTAATATACGTATAGTTTTAAATATAACATAGAAGTAGGTAGGTACGAAAGCTAAGCTAAGATAATGCAGATGTTTTTTATATGAGTAATAAAACTGGCGACTCACCCTTCTCTAACCCTCGGATTCGTTCCTAGGTACGTTTTTAATATTTTCATTCAAGTTAACCCTAGGAAAGGCTACATCGATTTTAACGAAAATAGCGATTATGAATAAACGCACGCACACGAAGCCAATGACAGTTGGTGGTTTATTGAATTAAATTTTGCACTTTTATGTTAGCAGATAAATTATTTAGTACTAGTGCCCTCGTTTCGCTCGGTTTCATCCCTAGGTACCTACCTTTTAATTTTTTTGAGCGCAACCCTAATACTGAAATAAAAGTAGCCTAAGTTATTCCTTATAACATCAACCACAGTGAAAGCCTCGTCAAAATCGGCCCAGCCGTTTCAGAGATTAGCCGGAATAAACAGACAGACAAAAAAAATAAAAATTGTGTTTTTCTTATAAATACCATATATAATTCCATATGCGTTTAGTAAAAAGCTATTATTTTGACATTACAAACAGACACTTCAATTTTATTTATCTGTATATATTTTAGACTATTATGTCAACGGTTCCCTTAGTTTTAGAAACGTGATTCACTTGTAGCGTCTGTCTTAAGGCTTCTCGCCGAGTGAGTCAAGTTTCTCGCAATTCTACACCTTCGCATTTTTACGGCACCTGATTAATTTGAGAGCTCCTCATCTCTGTGATAATACGAAGTATAATAGATGGATGCCTCATTAACTTCGCCCCATCATATAAATTGTTCTTTTGCCTTTTTAGTAAGCTTACACATATATACTACGTATGTATTTATGAACTTCATTAACTAGATATGATAGTATTATTATTTTAATACGTAAATTAACAAATATTATTTTGGTTTTATTGAAAACTATACTAAATTGCAAATTTATCGAGCATATTAGGTTGTTTTTAACACACTTTTATTGGCTTTACTGGTAACTAGGTAAAAATGTAATTAGCTCTTGGTAGTCAATTTAACTTACTTTTAATAGTCGTGTCGTTTTAAAACTTTATGAGTAGGTGAAATCTGTTTGGCGATGTAATTATTTGATACCATCTACATGATTATGGTGTCATTGAAGAGTTACACTATCTAAGTGGAACTCATTAATGGCTTCTACTTAAATCATCCAGTTTTTGCTTATTTGATTAGTTTTCATGAGTACTATATAATAGTCGGTCAAAGTGTGTTTTTAAATTAAAAATATTTATATAAGTGTTATTTAAGAATAAAAAAACGTGTATAGGTAATTTCTTTTAATTAGTTTATACTTATTTAATCATGTTATGAGATAAGTTAATCGTGTTATGAAACCACAAAATCAATGCTGAAAGTATCCGTCCTTCGTTTCTTTTTATTCGAGTGTCATATAATATCTTCTGGACTAAAGAGATTTTAATATAAATTTTTCAAAGCTTATGATTGGATTTTAAAACTGGTAAAAATATTATTTTGCTACTAAGATGAGCGTTAATAATAAAATAATAAAAAGAATTACATATATGTATGTATCTGGAAAAAAAAGGGATCGAAAATTACTTAAAATCCGTATATGACAATTATAACTTCAAGGTTTTTTGACTTTACAGTCTTGTTACTCTCGTACTCTCGTATATACCCCTAAATACTGTTGTATACCATCTGCTATAAATACTGTTTAATGTTTATAATACTAGCACCTGCCATTGACTTTTCCACTTTTTATACTATCATAAGAAAACTCTATATGAAACCATTTACTGTGGTACTCCCGTATTCTAAATCCTATTTTTAGACATTTTCTCGATGTGCTTAATACATCTTCACTTTAAAAATATTCATGACTTTTTAAACTTAATTATAAGCGGAAATAAATTTTATTTTATCAAGATAATTACAAACCAGTTACCAATTTAACCTATCTTAATATCCTTGTAGTCGAAAATAATGAATAGGAATAAATTTAAGTGACCTTGGTGTCGAATACATCCGATGAGCAACTATTTAAATAATTCCAGCCATAAAAGGGCGAAAGCATCCTCCTCGATGTATGCAAAGAAATAATACCTTTCGGTATACGGTAACTTGGAAAGACGAATAGCTCTACACGAAATGAATAAGTTAGTTTTAATACAAAATAAAAAAAAAGTTAAATATCAGTGCTTTTGACTTAAACCGAATATATACATACATACAAATATTTTAGTATTTGGGTATATTACAAATAAGGCAGAGGCTAGTTTATAATTTATATTATCACAGTTGAGTCATTACTACTGCCTGTTGAGTCATTATTTATTGATAAATTATTATAATTTTTAACTTTTTTTAATTAACACTAACGAAAGGTCGCAAATACGATTTAAATATTTTATTAAAAAGCTTATTTAAAAAAACATTAGAATGTTTTTTTTTATATATTTGTAATTTTAGATCATCAGAGCTTAAATTCTCTACTTAGTGCAGTACCTACTGATAGGGATTACGAAAGAAATACAGATGTTTTCTTTAATAAGAGTTCTGATTTAAAGGCAGATTGTATAGATAAGAAGTATTTAAATCGTTCATAAGATAAGCCACTCAGTAGATTCAGATTGAATTTTAATTTCTAAACTACGTAAATACATTATAGCGTTTTAGAAAATCAAAATCATAGTAATATTTTAAGTAATGTAATGCAATTATACCATTCGTTTTGTAATCCAAGTATAATAAAATATGTTTAAAAAAAGTCGTAAAGAATAAATCTACAATAGGAATTTCAATTGCCTAATTTAAAAGATAACAGCATTAGTCCTACATTTATTGAAGTACTTAGGTTCTTAATAAAGAGTAATAGAAACCACTTGGGTAATAAATAATATGAAAAATAAATAATTTGATAAATAATAAATAAAAAAAATTATCAATATTTATTTATATCATTGTAGAGTTCTGAGCGCCAGTCCATATTATCGTTAAAAGGCATATATCCTTGAGTCATAAAAACAGGCTAAAATTACAAAATATTTGTTATTACGGTCGATTTCCTCATAAATAGGTGTTCATTGCAAAAGCAATGATTTTGATATGAGTTTGTACGAGTATAATAAAAAATCACAATAACATACTTATAAACGTCAGACATTGTGTGGGTATAACACAAATCTTAAAGCAAGACAACAAATAGGCCTGGGCTTTAAAAATATATATGTAATAGAAATATACATACATATTATTTATTATATATATTACGTATAGTAGGTACGGAATCTTTGGCACGCCTATCCGACTCGGTTATTTTATTTCTGTTACTACTGTTTTCAATGTAATTAACCATTATTATTCAAATGGTTTTTTTTCTATTGTATCGGCAGTAGACAAATTAAAAATAAATTTATTTTACCTTAACGAGTAATTATTAGATAATAAAGTATTTTTTGCTTATCTCAGCTCTTATTTAATTACATAAGATGTGAGACGTTACAAGAGACAGAACTCTGCCATGGGCAATTCTAATCATTGTTAAAAAAATCTACAAGCAGTATATTAACGAGTTTTTGCGTCCGGTCAAACTGCGAACACACCATACGAATACTAATTCACTTGACCTTGGACAGAATCACGTTTCCTTTCGAAATGGGTCCGTGAATGCGATATTTTTAGAATAAAAGTAAAAAGAGTGGAGCGAAACAAAATAAAAGGGTTGGTCGAACGAATCGTCCCACTTTTTGTTGGTCGACCATCTTTTTCTACTTTGATGAAGCGACGGGTTAGATAAAGAAGCCTGTTTGTTCCGCATCCTTACAATGTTCCTTAGATTGAACGCCAGAATAAGAAAAAAATATTTGACACGGATGATAGTTCAGGGCTCGAGATATTTTTGTACTTGTCAACTGTAGAGTTTGAGAAACGTGCGTAAATTAATTAGGTTTTATGGTTATATTTTATACAAATATTACCTAGTTTTAAAAATATCAGGTATATTTTACTATAATAAAACTTGATTTATACTTAAGATTTTTTTTAATTAAAAATATACTGAAATAAATTAATAGTTAATAGACTTATACCTAAAGGTTTTTAAATTTTGTACACTGTAATAACTATAAATATAAGTGTTTTAAACAAATTCTCTTTTCCATTTTCATTATTACTTTAAAGAAAAAGTACATAAACAGTTAGTAAAGAAAATGATTTGTTTTACTGATTTTGACGACACCGATGCAGAAACATGTAGTTTGTTCAAATTGTTACCATATCGTCGCCATTGAGAGGAAAATGTAATGTACCTATGAGGCATATCAATAAAATATAATTATTACGCGTTCAGAAAAGTGTGACTCAGAACTTCTTCTTAGTTGTAAATTAAACATAGTGGTGTGAGAGATCTATTATAAAAATAGCTCT